TACGACCGTTTTTTTGCAAATTTCATGAAATGCATTTTGCTCCTCCTTTTCTTTCGCATTGAAATTACTGAAGAGTCACCATTTCTAGAGCAAGATTTATTTCCAATTATCGATTCAGATTCACTTTTTGAGGTGGAAAGTGAATGTTCTGAAGAATAGTGCTCAATGGACTCTCGGCCGCCGAGGTCATGGCTGAGAGGGAGAGGATTAACGCCAGAATTCACGGATAAGTCCCCACCGGCAAATTGGACTACAAAATCATTTACATGCTGATTTTGTTGATCGCAATTTTCCGACAACCTAGGTTTTTTCTTTTGGGGAGATGCTACAGTGATGCGATGATCGAATTCATGGCTGAGAGTAACAGCCTCCTTTCTATAATTCATAGATATCTCTGGGCTGGAAAGTTGGATAAGAAAATCAGTTTCTTGCTGATTTGGTTGCTCACAGCTTTCGGAGTTGGATACCCCAGTTTTTTTATCCTGTGGAGATATATGAGCTAACAGAGAGGTTAAAACAGAATTGCTCTGACAATCTTGATAGTTGTCAGTAGCTGTTAAAAAAGCAACATTCGATTGCTTAGCAGCATACTGCGCCTTCCGCTTGGCTCTTGCCAGTCGAGCTTTGGTTGGCATCGTGATCAATACTATCTACCAGGAAGTTACGAGAACTTTCATCTGGTTGGTTAGGAAATTTTAATTTAAATTGGTTACCAGGAAGTTAACACTTGCGACTGGTTGCAGAAATAATGATTACTAATCTCCACTTAGAGAAACTTGTGACGAGGACAAGAGAGTAGTGAAAAAGTCTCAGCTGGTGATGCAGCGAGAAGTTAATGAGATCTACCCAACAGACTAGGCTAGCAACTAGTACATGACTAATGGTTGGGTTACTTAGAAAAATTGTGAAAGTTTCCCAGGAGGTTTTACCTTGCTTCTGGTTCTGCTAAAAAAGTTGACTGATCACCAGGAAGTAAAAGAACTTTCATCTGGTTTCTCAGCAACACTAAATATAAAATAAGTAGTTATCAGGAAGTCTGAGCTTGCGACTGATTTTCGGAAAAATTGTATAAGTTTCCAAGGAGGTTTTACCTTGCTTCTGGTTTTGCTAAAAAATTTGACTGATCACCAGGAAGTAAGAGAACTTTCATCTGGTTTTTCAGCACCACTAAATATAAAAGAGTTATCAGGAAGTCTGAGCTTGCGACTGATTGTCGGAAAAATTGAGAAAGTTTCCCAGGAGGTTTTACCTTGCTTCTGGGTTTGCTAAAAAAGTTGACTGATCACCAGGAAGTTATAGAAACTTTCATCTGGTTTTACAGGAAACTTCAATGGATAAATTTTACTCTATGATATAATGCTTAAGTACCAGGAAGTCTAGGCTTGCGACTGGTACTAAAGTAATGAGTAGGTTATAAAGAGAAATAGTATGAATGAACCAGGCGGTTGTTACCTTGCTACTGGTCTTGTTTATCTTTTATTTAATAAAGGTAAACAGATAAATGTAAATAAATGCAAGTGAACATATGAAAAATTTCAGAGCTTTGGTCGGATCACGAAATAATCACTAGAAACTTTTCAATTGCTATATGTAAACAAAACAAAACATGGGTGGAGCATGGATGGATCAACACAGTTTTATTTCTTGACTAAATACAACCGGTCCGGTGACTAATTACACTTGTAATTAAAAAAAGATGCAAGTTAAGAGCTTCAAAAGACTATTTCCAGAGATTGAAGCTGTAACGAAGAATTTAATTGAGAAAAATCGACAAATTTTCTTCTATCCTCCGTTCTGTGCGAGTCGGGGGGAAAGAAAGGCGAAAACGTAAACAATCAACGATGGTAACATGCAGAAGGAGGCAAGCGGAGTGTGGTGATAATATGTAGATTCCTACTACGTCACAGCAAAAGACATCGAAGACTATACGGGAACTGTGTTCAAGTTGGGTCACATCGGCGTGAAGCATTGGAAACGCTTTAAGCTGTAAGCTCTCTCTCATTGGTTGATACGTCAATATACACTTCTACGTCACGAAACAAATTTTTTGGGGAATGACTGTTCCGCCACCACCTGTATAGTACATACATGTCGAAGTGCCGCATTCCTAACATTCCTGCGTCTCGTGATCTGCAGCGTGATCTCGTTGGAAACTCTGACTCTGTCGGTGTCGGTATCATCATTCGTTTCGTTCTAGTTGTATTGCAAAAGAAATGAAGATGAAACCCGAGGATTTCAAAGCGAAATTAAAACAAATGGTAAGTTTTCTCTCATCTTCTTTTATTACTACTATCGTTTACAGGTAATGAAAGCAACATAAGTATTCAGTATCATCAGGCCAAGAGCCAAGTATAATACTCAGCTTCAACACAGGAGAAGAAACTACATTTTTTGGATGATTTAGATAAGGGAATGATTATGGGAAGTTTCCTTTATAAGTGAGACGTACGGGAAGCTTGTATAAGAGCTGCCAGTGTAATGATTGGCTGTCATGTTTTGCAGCTGCAGCTGAAACTTCTTTTCCATTCGCACTCAGACTGCACTTTCCCTCCAATTCTGGAGTATGATTGAGAGTAACCAAATGACGCTGCAGTTTTTGCCTTACATGTTTTTTTCGCGCAAGTCGATTTTAGAGTCAGGCAGGTATTGTGTGAGCGGAAGAGAAGGTTCGAATATAGATTATTGGGCAGCATTTGGAACCCAGATTCATGGCTATGAATGATGATCCTGTGGAAAAGGTGGCCGAAGTATAATAAGTTAAACGGAAAGAAAATTAATGGCCTTAAGTATTGCAGTACAAGCAGGGCTTGTATCATCAAAATGTTCTAACAGTTTCGATTTTTTCAATGTGACGGATCTCTGGAAGATTCCTGCTGCTAGAACAGGGATAGGTTTTAGAGAGGGGGGTCATGGTCAAGGAACTATGTGGTGTTCGAGAGATTTAAGTGTGCATGGGTCAGCTCTAATCGCATGAGCTAACGTCAACACAGGAAAAGAGCAGTTTATTCACTGTTGTTGTATGTACATCAGTTGATTGAGGTAAACCTGTTGCCAAGGAGAAATGAGAAATTCTCTTCATCATCAACACTTAAAGAAGGAATAAATATAAGGTCACGAAGTAGAATTTGAGTGAAGTACCTATTCTTAGTATCTAAATAGATTGTTGCGTGGCATTTCGATGGCGGAAGTGGGAAACCTCATACCTCCATTGAGATGTCTGAACTTTCCACTTGTAATTTGATTCTTCAAAGAGAAACAAGCCAACCTTATGTTAAAGATATGTAAACTCTTGAATTTATCAGGAATGAGAATTGTCGTACTGAATTATGTCCTCTTATTTCTCAACAGGGATACTGGAGAGCGATCGGTGCCCTGGAAACAGCTGAAGCTGTGAGCAAATTGACCCCGTCAGCTCCTATGTTCCAAATAGCAGTCCTCCTGTGTAAGTATAATGAAGAAGAGTACAGAAAGAATTTTAGTTAGTCTCCTCCTCTCGAGGTGGAATAAATATCTCTAAGATTACAAATACTTCATACGTAAGAAAGGAGTCCTTTGGTTGTCTATCAAGTCATCATCTCTTGTGTAGAATATTATATTATATTATAAGAGTCTGTGTACTTCTCATGTACCTACCACAGAACACTCACTTGTCAGATGTTTACATCTACTTGCATTGCGACACATGAAAATAGAAGCTTTATCTCGGTCTTTAAGATTTTAATTCACGAATTTATTTTTTTTCTTGGGAGGGGGGGGGGACAAGTAACGAATCTATATTTGACAAGCAAGAATCAAAACTGGAAACTCAACTGTCTAAAAATATGTATGGCATTCATTTGAATTTTTCATATGTACTAAGAAGCTGTAATATCCGTTTGCGCGATTATTAAGAAATCGACCACTTATCAATAAGAAATTGATGTCAGTATTTTGGGTAGGAATTCTTATTGCTTCCTCCTTTAAAATAAATTGAAAGATCATGCAACATATCAGACAATGAAATGGAAATAATAGAAGGTTTGACCACTGGCACTTTATTTATCTGGTGTCATAAACTGAAAAAACGTATTGAACTTGCCTTATGAGTCCTTCATAATTGTTGGCAGCACAGAGTGATCTTAAGTGAAAATTAAACTAGATGATTCGATTCCCAGTTAAGAGAGCAACAATTTCCTGTTACACATGCAACTTTTGCAGGACATAAAACAAATTTGCCTATCCAGCTAATTCAAAGCAATCAATAAAGAGGTCATTAGGATCTGCTGTTGTCTTTTTCAAAGGCAACTTTGGTCTCAAGATCCATCAAATAAAAGTGATTCATGTTATTCCCAACAATTTAGTAGTTATTTTTTTCTCTCTCTTTTTAGCGGAACATATTCCTAGCAGCGAAATTTTAAATTTTTTTGGCACAGCAAGCACAAGCACGAGCATGAGCTCACAGGCAAGACCGCCCCCTCCGCCTCCTAATAATAAAGAAGAACGTAAGGAAGTTAATGTTAATACACCACAGCGACAACAACCTGTACAACAACAGCAACAGTATTATTGGTACCCGCCCTATTGGTACCCCCCTCAATATCAGCCACCACCAACCAACCAGCAATACCAAGGGGCCCAATCCCAGGTAATGCGGATTACTTGAGACAATTTTTCTTATCATTCATGCATGTGTCCAAGATCCTTGATTTATCAGAGAAGTTCTCGTTGAAAAGTTTAAAAAAAGATCATTCAAGGAAACTTGACAGCTATGTTTAATTTAATTCACTTTTGGACATTGCCACTATTAATTTTTCTTCATTTTTCTTGCTGATTGTTCGTGACGTATACAACAATCAGACTGGAAGTGTAACAAGGGCTCGTAAAAGATCATTTAAAATATTTCGAGTAGTTAGGAATGACTCAGTCACATTGCCTCAACCCAGGTAGCACAGTGCAACGAAAATATCTAAATTAAATTGCAATTCGATTTTAATAAATTGTATAATTTTTTACCATTAAATTGCAATATTTTTACATCATTCAGTTGATTTATGCCGATTTTAAACAATCAAGAAAATGAGCACCTTATGTCAGAGAGATAGGCAATATGCAATGCAATGAGAAATTGAAACTTATTTCAATTTTATTGCAATAAGTTTCAATAAATGGGGCCCCTTCAAATAGGAGGTAGGCAACATGCACAACACTCAGTGGTATTGCAATATTTTTACTATGTAACTGTTACCTATTGCGACCTGGCGCTTGTGAGTTTCGAACTTTGCTGATGAGATAGGAATAATTTTACCACTAAATTGCAATTTATTCACTCAATACAACTTAGATGAGATGCAAAATTTTTTTGAGACAAGGAGCTTGTGTTTCAGAGGAACTTGGTATTTCTTGGGGACAGCCTTTTGGTTCGATTGCTAAATGTGGAATCGCTTGTACAAAAGTTTAAAAATGATAGGATCATCGATTTATCAGTATCTGGCAGCAGGATTGAGGAGGCCGTATTAAATTTGGATCGAGAACTGCACTCAAACCCTTACAAGTTAAACAACTCAATAATGATAATTCTGTTGGGAACCAATGATTTTCTGCGTAACGGGCAGTTCAATTTTAAGGGGTATGAGCTTATAGTCAACATGGCCTGTAATTTTTGCACGAGGATTTTGCTGGTGACAGTACCTCCAATCCCGAGGTTGCCAAAGTTCAACCCAGAAATTTGTGTGGTGAACGAGTGGATACGTCGTTTTCAGATCAGGGAAAGAGTCTCAGTTATCGAATCCACACATTTTAGACATCCTGAATCAGCTGTTGATCTCAGTCTGTTTGAGAAAACGTATTTTAGTGGAAAGACAGATCTTGTGCATCTTAACAGAAAAGGTCTGACACTTTTAGGAAATGCGATTCTTCAGCAAGTGATGAGCATCTGAATAAAGAACAGGTAATTTTTTTTTTGAAAAGTGCATATACTTTTTCAGTAGTAGCAGGTGGGAAAACAGAAGAAAAATTTGAATACAATAGAAAAAGTTGAAACTAAAAAAGTTAGTGTGATTGGTTCAGGTAAGCTACTATTTGGATTACATTTTGCCGTAAGGAACCACTATTTCTGGCTCAGTTTAGAAACAACATAAACACGATTGGGTTCCCTATGCAGATACGTCCTTTTTTTGGAGGAGCTAGAGATAGTGGTTCCTTATTGCAAAATGTAATCCATTCGAACTTGTTTCCATGAATACGTGTACTTGATAAGATAAGGTTTGTAAAAAGGAACCAAAAGCATTCATATGTCGCCAAGTTTGTGAAACCTTACTGATGTTGCAAATGTAAACTGATCATCTAAACAAATTTTTTTTATCTTTACTCTAAATAGATTGTAAATTCAAGACTATTTCTTTTTCAAATGTAATTTGCTGCATGATTTCAGTTACTGCAGTGGAAAAAGTGTAAGTTGCTCAATCCTGGCAACATTGGAATAGTCTTGGTTCCTTAATGCAATCCAATGAACGTGAACTGATCAGAGAGTGAAGTAACGAAGTAATACAGTTTTCCTTTTCTTTTGTTTTTTTCAGCACCCTCAACAACCATTGTGCTGGCCAGAACACCAAGAAACGGCGGAGTTAGGTAAGCTGAAGCTCCAGCAAGTAATAATTTTTTTGTTTTGTTCTATTCATCAAGCATTGTTACAAGCTGCAACTGTAAAAAACAGCTTTTCAGGGCGAGGAAAATTTAGAAGGGGTTGTCTTATACAAAATCCTGCTCACTCTGTAGAAAAAATCTAGAAAGTTATAGTTTACCTATGAAATCAATGATAGTTCGGGGTTTTTTACTTTGCTGATTAGATGTCAACACACAGGAACTGCCCTGAAGTATCACTTAAAGTCTTATTCGATTTTAAATGTTTGGTTTCTTCATGCAAGGAGCTTGGAGGAGAGACGGATAAGTGTAGTTTTTGCCAAAATTGAAATATTTATGATTTCAACTAAAATTACAACTTTGCAGCATCAAAAGTGTCTAAACTTTCTTTTCTGGGAAGGCTCGCTCCATGTATTTTTAAGATTTATTTATTTTAATAAAAGATGTATTTTTCTTGACATAGCAAAAGTTGCACTTGTGCGGCTTGTCCTCCTAGTCCCACATTAAGGTTTTCTTTGTCTTATTGTAACTATTTCTGTAATTACTTTTCAGATTTGCTTTCATTACTTTTCATCCTCTAACACAATATATATCTATAATGTTGTTTTCGTTTTTCGTTTGTTCCAGGAAAAATTTCATTCGAGTTCAAGATTTCGTCAAAATTTGTTTTTTGTTTTCCTTTTTTTTTTTTTTTGTTTTGTAATATTTTGTAAAAAATTGAAATTTTTTTTTGTATTATTTTGTAAAAAATTCATTTTTTTTGTAAAAATTTAAATTTGTAATTTTTGTTTTGTATTATTTTGTAAAATTTTGTAAATGAAAATATAAAATAATAAAATAAACTTGTGAGATTTTGTAGACTGTCTTTGTTGCATCAATTGTATCATTAGTACATTAGTACCTATAACATTTTCATATAATGTAAATCATTTAAAAACTGTTAAAAGAGTCACTTGCATGGTGGGTTGTTTTATGATGAATGTTGGCAGACGCGTTTTAGACGTTGGAGTCAATTATGTTTTCTTTGCTGTGACTCATCCACTCGAGGCAACTTCGAAATGCCTCTGGCTTATCTTGAAGTAAAAATGAGTCTTTACACAATTTTAAATTAAGTTCTAAAGTGTCTTATGCAATGTACCTCAGCTTTTTTGGTACCCTACAAGAGACTGTTGTTCATTGTCTTACTTTTTGTTTTTAATAGTTCCACGTTTTTTTTTATGAACTATCTCTCTACCATCATTTACATGACTTCTTTATTTAGATTTCCGAAGAGTATGCAAGAATCTAAATTTCAAATATTTATTCTTCTCTTGATCAAAACGAGGAACGTTCCTTAAGTATTAAAATGATTCGTTACATAGGTATGGTAGGTAAGAAGAGTTGCGGCTACCTGAAATGAAGGCAAATATAACTAGAGAAGAATATTGAGTAAAGTTGATCATTGATGTATGGAGTGGAATTTTTTCTCTAAAATATAAACATTAATGAAAGTGAGCTTAGGAGATGGTAAGAACCTCAGACTTCCAAAGATAACAAATATTTAAGGTTTATACTCAAGACTGGAAGGCCAGTGTTAGGAGAACTGACTGCATCATCTGGAAGGAAGCGAATCCAAGAATGTCGCCGTATATTTGTCATCAGTGATACTGGCAACTAGCAACTAAACTTGCTTCAAAGGTAAGCTGGTTGCGTCAGAAACTAACAGAAGGCGAGTCAGCCCAGCAGCATTAACTGCCTCTGCTCGTTGCAGGTCAGAGGCGTAAGCGCACTTGTAAAACATTGATCTCAAATGATATCAGACACTTTGAATTATGGTTCGAATCGGAAAACAGAGTTTGAGCTTCTATTTATTTTCCCTTTTTAATTTTCGAGAGATTACCATTTTCCCTCTCTTCTGTTTTACAATTTTTTGAGTTATGTACTACCAAATACTAATATTGTGATAAGATGTCATAGGCCTGACTGGATTTTTACCCTTTCTGAGGTTTTTTTAGTGGTTTTAGGTCATAGAAGATCTGGTAAAATATAGGAATAGAATTGTTATAATTCTGAGAATTAGTAAAGTTGCCTTTTGAAGGATGGTGAGGAATTGAACAAGATTTAAAGTAGTTGACCACTGTTGTATTTAGGAAACAATATTCACATTTCAGACGAGCGGGAAGGGTGAAATTTTAGGCAAGACATCAACTCTGTATGCTTCAATCCAAAACTGCTGACCCTGGTACAGTAGTACTTTTCAGGGTGGTTCACAAGACGGTAAGGAAGTTTGCAGGCACTCACAACAGAAAGCAGTCGTTTGGAACATGCCTAGAATGAGCTTTTGACTCCGCTCATCAATCAACAATAATGAGACGATTCGGCTATTATCTTTTTTGTGATTCTGTTTCTGTGAATGAATGTGTTTATGAGTCTATGGCATAATCTTAAGCGATTGCAGGTTGAGACAGAAATTACTGCATTATTCTTGTTTACAATTTCAATTTCAATCAATGATAATCAAGGTAAGACAGTTGATTTTCAAACCTTGTCTGAGAGTGAATGAGCTTGACACGCAAGGAAACAAAATGTTCAACAACTATCTCAATTTTTCTAAGCCAACTTAGGTATGCAGCAAAATAAATTCTTGATTTTTTTGTAATCATCAAGCTGAGAAAATAGAACGAGTACATACCTTTCATGAAAGACTTTGTTACACATTGACTGGCCACATGATGTTTCTAACAACTTCTGACGCAAAATCAAAGAGCCTTGAAGAAAACCAAATTTGAGCTAATACTCATCGTCAAATATCTCTGATTTAGGGACATAAAGTTGACTTAGTGATTGAATTATACGTAGCATCCCCATATCCCCATGATGTCTTCGATGTATAAACAAGCACAGTAAGAGGCGTAAGCTTTCTAAGATTAGTCATGAAGAAGACAAGATCTTAATGTAAATAACATACACTTAGGAAAAGCACAAGCACTTCAGAGCACGTAGGTTGAAAGCAAAATTTAAAGCGAATAGACTTTGGTCAGAGCATAGTGACGGTGTCGCACGTAGTGTGATGGGGGAAGGCTAATATTATTACAGTAATTTTTAGATCTTTTTCGTGTGACTGATAGGGTCCACTGAAAACAACTAAATCACTTCAAGATATGGAAACTAGCATTCGTGACTTGAGGAAAGCAATAATGTAACTACAGACTGAGAGTGCTTGATGGGCTCTCCCTTCGATCCGTTGGTGTGCATATAGTAGGGAATTATTTGGATGCTGTTACACGAGAATGCAAACTGTGGTGTAAATCCTGCTTCCTTTTGATAGTTTGGCACGGCTTTGATGTCTTTTTATCGACGTAACTTACCTGAATAACATTTATTGATGTTTGGGTAAGACAGATACACGGTCTGATAATAACCTCACTTCTGAACAAAGACATCACTTGAACATTTTAAGAGAAACTAATGAAATATTGTATCGGGCTCTGGCAGAAAACGTGCGACGTAATAATATATAAGTAATAATATAATTAGTTGGCTTCTACAGAGAATTGAACTCTTATATAATATTAAATCATAAATCTGTTCTCAACTAGCTAGAACTTAGAGGGAGAAGTTGGTAACTAGGCACTAGGGGAATTTCGTTTCCGAAACACGGGCTACACTGGCTATAAACTGAACGGATCGACCAATGACATTGAATGAACCACTTACCGGATTTTTCTAAAATTCAAAACATTGTAGCTAAAATTTTGAAAGTTATTTGCCGATGCTGAATTATCCGAGCATTGAAACCCTATTAAATGTGGTATAAATGAAATCCTTATATCCTCAAGCAGGGCCTTTCTAGGTTCCATTAGAATCTGTGGCCGTGTAAGAGAGAAATCTGTTGTGAAAGGTGATCATGTCGGTTTCCCGCTACTAAACGGCCCATGTTACAAAAAATATTTGTCATTTTGGGCCTTTAAGTGCTTATAACTTTTTGAAAACTCAATGGATCTTGATGAAACTTTCCAACTTTGTAGGCCCAATTTAGGTGCGTCAGTAGACACCAAGATCGTTGGAATCCGTGCCGTCGTTTGGTCTGCAGTCGAGTTCGAGTCGAATCAATTTTCAGAATAAGGGAGTTACGTGTGTCTATGGTTGGCTGCCACCTTTTTCGTTTGGAGGCTTTCCAGTGTTGTCGAGTTTAGACTTTGTCCGGAGGTGGCTACCGCCACCCATGATGAGGAAACGAGTATTCCTCTGTTCGGTGTAATTGATAACATTTTTGTCACAGAAGATAAATTTGTTTACTTCCTTTTGAAAAATCTTAGAACTATTCAGTTTGATGAATTACGGTTTGCGTTTTTAATTGAACCAGTTGAATCTTTTTCTATTATTGATATCAACAAACTGCATGACTTTCATCCTCATAATGCTGTTAAGATTCCTAAAGGAGGAACGTACATTTCTTTGCTGCACAATGCTTGAATCATGTAGCAGCTGACTTGTCTCTACTGGTTCTCTATACTGAGATAGTTTGGAAATACCTTGTGTCAATGGAGATACTATGACAAATTTAGGAACTGCCACTGGTTGAGAATGAGCAATTAAGTTCCTGCTCGTCTGAAAAATTGGTAACTGGAAAATTGCCACTTCGAACAGAGATTTGGCACTAGAACATGGATCAACTGGAACCTAGGAACATGGACCCCCAGGTAATGGGGGTTCCAGGAGATCAATTAGAGACAAAATAAAGATGTGATAGCAGGTTCAGGTCGCCAGCAGTCAACCTTTTGCTACCTTTACCTTTACTGAAACCTTCACTGAAAAGCGGATAATTAAGTCAAATTGGTTTATTAACGATTTGAATTTTAGAGGAACAAATACACTGAATGTATTTGTAATAGTTCTACCAAGGTGAAGCTTGAACTTCCTATTATTATTATTTATGCTATTCCTTTATTCGTTTAGCCCTCATTTGTTAATATTTTTATTATTATATTTTATTTTAATTTATTCTTCAATTTATTCTCTCATACTTCTAGGCAGAAATTATCTGGAGGCGCCATGTTAGGCCGATTATGGCCTTTTCGGTGTGGAATGTGTTTCTTTGAGCGGGAGTTAATAATCTAGTTAAAGAATGCTCACTGAATCTAACCATTTCAATCCATTCATTTCAGTCGGGTATAATTATCAACAGTTGAATGAGAGATACTCGTGGTTGAGCGACTCGGTAACTCATAACTAGTAGGCTGCTGCAAAGAGCTTCATTTTTGTATGTTGCCTCTATGGCAGTGATTTTCTGTGTATTTGAGCAGCTTGGAATTATGCGTCCTACAACCTGGTCATTGAAATTTATGAAGGCATGATAGGACGTAGCGCATCGGCATGTTACACGGTAAGTAGGGTCATGTTAGGTTAGAGATCGGGCCTTGTCTTGTCCCGTCGTGGGGTCATGGCCTCATCTATTTCACCACTTAGGCTGCTTGTTCCCGCCATTAAGACTTATCAGCTGGGACGGTCTGGGCCACGGTGGAAGGGGTTACCATGGAACTGTATGAATAGATTTGGTCTTACTCTTACAGTCAAAGTTGCAGAGAAAAAGTTTCGTTCTGTCCTAATCCCTGTTATTTGACCCTTTCTTGTAAACCCTTATTTTCTAAAAGAAAAACAAAAGAACCTTTATCCCTTCTATAAATAAAGTGGATATATAAAACTTCTGAAAAACTTAGAAACGTTGTAGCAGCCACCCAGGTCCTAACCTCCAAGCTCTCGTCCCAACAAAATCTGCCCTTCATTAGGCTTCACTCCCAGGACGACCGTCCACACACAGGGAGAAATAATGGTTGTAGCCCCAAATGCCTACCACATGGGTTTTAACCTGGGGTTGAACATCGCAGAGTCCAAAAATTTTGCCACTCACTCGTGGATCAAAGATGGGAAGGAAGCGAAGTCGTGCAGCTGCAGGGGTCGTGCCAGGGCAGGCGCTGTCTTCGACATGGGACCATTCTCTAAGCTCAAACCTCCGCGCGATCTTTATCAACCCTCCACCGTAGTCAAGTCTAGGCCACTTTGCACTTTACCTTAATAAAATGCTCGTCATGTATCGTTAGCTTAGCCGAGCGCGTTCGTTCTTTTCCCATAAAACCCACTGGTTTTCTGCTCATGAGTCAGGAAGAGAAAGTTTGTTTATTGAAACGAGCCATTTATGGTCTGAAGCAAGCCTCACGCATGTGGAATCAAAAAGCTCACAGCAAATTACTTGAACTTGGTTTCAAGCAAAGTAATCATGATCCTTGTATTTATCTCAAAAATGTAAATGAAAAAAAGTTGTATGTTGCCTTGTTTGTCGATGATTTTACTACGTACTCTCTGTACCACTTTGCACTTTACCTTAATAAAATGCTCGTCATGTATCGTTAGCTTAGCCGAGCGCGTTCGTTCTTTTCCCATAAAACCCACTGGTTTTCTGCTCATGACAAGTTGCCGATTTAAATTGCAACAGCATATACCAAAACATTAAGGATCAAATTAAATTATTCTCTTAAATTATTCGGTATTCAGAGAACCGGTACAGAGCCAGACTTGTTGCCAAAGGCTTCACACAGCGTGAAGGAATCGATTACGATGAAACCTTTGCACCGGTAGTTAGGAAAGAAAGCTTCAGGCTATTAATTGCTTTAGCTGTTAAATTTAATTTGCAAATCCGTCACCTCGATGTTAAAACTGCTTTTTGAGGAGGAGACACCTCTGCGCGAGGAAGGTGCTGCAAAGCTAATCCTGCCAAGGACTGCCAGAGACCTGTTGCGCAGCAGAGTCGGGGCGGAGGTGATTGACGATTTCAAGATCACCAAGCCTATTTACCAGGCAATTCGCAAAGTGCCACAATGGGATCGAGAATCGGCCCCATTCTACACGATCACCCACAGTAGTCACGGAGAGATGACCATCGGCGATCTTCGCGTTCGCGGACACGCCGGTCCGTACGAGGATGAACCGGTCGAAGCGGCGGTCGAGCACTACTGGGAGAGACTGGCCACGGGGAATGCCGATTTCTGGTATGGAGCTGGTGTCGCCGGCTCCGTGTTCCAGGACAGGAGTTTGGTGTTCAACGTGGACAACATCCCATCATTGCTCGACCAGTTCGTGGAGGGCGAGGGCATTACCAGTAAAACCTCCTTCATTGGAGTTTGGGGCTCCTCCTTCCCATGGCATTCTGAGGATATGCGCCTGTGGAGTGCCAACGTCCTACTGTACGGGGCACCAAAATACTGGTATGTGTTGCCTGCTTCCCAGTCGCAGAAGCTAGAGGAACTGGCGGATGCCTATGCCTATGAGTCAGCAAATTGCACGCATTACATGATGCATAAACGCAGCCAAATCTGCCCTTCATTCTTGAGTAGAAGAGGCTTCACTCCCAGGACGACCGTCCACACACAGGGAGAAATAATGGTTGTAGCCCCAAATGCCTACCACATGGGTTTTAACCTGGGGTTGAACATCGCAGAGTCCAAAAATTTTGCCACTCACTCGTGGATCAAAGATGGGAAGGAAGCGAAGTCGTGCAGCTGCAGGGGTCGTGCCAGGGCAGGCGCTGTCTTCGACATGGGACCATTCTCTAAGCTCAAACCTCCGCGCGATCTTTATCAACCCTCCACCGTAGTCAAGTCTAGGCCACTTTGCACTTTACCTTAATAAAATGCTCGTCATGTATCGTTAGCTTAGCCGAGCGCGTTCGTTCTTTTCCCATAAAACCCACTGGTTTTCTGCTCATGAGTCAGGAAGAGAAAGTTTGTTTATTGAAACGAGCCATTTATGGTCTGAAGCAAGCCTCACGCATGTGGAATCAAAAAGCTCACAGCAAATTACTTGAACTTGGTTTCAAGCAAAGTAATCATGATCCTTGTATTTATCTCAAAAATGTAAATGAAAAAAAGTTGTATGTTGCCTTGTTTGTCGATGATTTTTTCATTCTAACTGAATCTGATGATGAATGTAATAAATTAACATCAATTTTAATGTCAGCTTTCCGAATGGTTGATCTCGGCAAAGCAAAAAGATGTCTTGGCATGAATGTCAATTATTCGCCAGATGGTTCCATTTCTCTTGATCAGGAGCATTATATCCATGAAATCTTAGTTAAATTTGGATTAACTGATGCAAAGCCAGCTAAAACTCCCATGGAACCAAATCTCTCGCTTGTCAAAGGTGATGTTACAAACATACCAAATATCCCATACCAAAGTTTAATTGGCTGTTTAACTTACATAGCAGTCAATACTCGTCCTGATATTTGTTTTGCTGTAAATAAGCTTAGTCAATTTAACACTTGTTACACTCCTGAACATTTCCATTATGCCCAAAGAGTTTTGAGATACCTAAAAGGTACTTGTGCTAAAAAACTATGTTTTTCAACCGAGGCAAGAGAAAAAGAAATTGAAGGTTTTGTTGATGCAGACTGGGGCAGTTGCGCAATAGACAGACGCTCCTACTCAGGGTTTGTCTTTAAACTCAGTGATGGGGCTATTTCTTGGTGCTCCAGGAAACAAAATTGCGTTTCCCTGTCCAGTACAGAATCTGAATATATTGCTTTATCTGAAGCTGCTAAAGAAGCTGTCTATCTAAAAGGACTGATTGATGAACTCTTACTCTGTAATAACCCGATTTCACTTTCTCATTGTAAGCCACTAGAACTCTCCTGTGACAATCAGGGCGCAGCTAAACTGGCAATGAATCCTGTTTTTCACAAGCGTACCAAGCATATAGACATTCGCTACCATTATGTTCGCGACATTATAGATAGGAATATTGTCACTCTATGCTATGTCCCCACAGAGGACATGCCTGCAGACATATTAACAAAGTCTCTTTGCGTTCCTAAACACAACCAGTTTTGTGACGCTTTAGGTCTTCACTAAATGCTCTTACCTCTAGAGCTCATTTTCCTACTTCACTTATTTTTCTTTTGTAAGCCTTAAGCGCTGCCGATAAATTTCATGTGTTTTTATTTTTGAAATTGCTTATCTAGCCGATAAATTTCATGTGTTTTTATTCCTGAAATTGTTTATCTGAATATTTTTTTCTTTAAAGAAAATTTCATGTATTTTTTTTTTTTGAAACTTTTCTGACTCCTCTGTGTAGTTTAAGGGGGTGTGTCAGTGATAAACTACCCACCGTATTGTGCCCGTATGGTGCTGCCCTCTGCTGGGCATCCACCGCACTATAGCTGCTCTCTCTCTATGCTACTCTCTGTACCACTTTGCACTTTACCTTAATAAAATGCTCGTCATGTATCGTTAGCTTAGCCGAGCGCGTTCGTTCTTTTCCCATAAAACCCACTGGTTTTCTGCTCATGACAAGTTGCCGATTTAAATTGCAACAGCATATATCAAAACATTAAGGATCAAATTAAATTATCATGTTCCTGCTCTCCTAAACCGTAAAAGTAGAGCAGTATTCTTCAAGAAGCAAACACCTTCCTAACAAAGATCAACACAAACAAAGATCTTCCTAAGTGTTAGCGGAGTGCAGAAAAATTCTAAAAGTGATTTAATTGCTTAACCTGAAAAGGAATGGGCAATCCTTGAGTTTGGTTTCCGGACCAAGCAAATGTTGAGCAGACACGATTGGGGGATATAACAAGTGTTAATCTTAGAGAATACTGTTCTCAGGTTACAGTTTTAATGCATGAATCTTATCGTGGCAAAAATATATTCACTCATGGCCCCTCGACAGATTTTGACCCTCCGAAGAGATATCGCTTCACATCCTTAATGCACATCACAACATTTAGGATGACAGCGGGGTATTTTAAATCATATTGTTCCTGCTCTATTAAACGGTTCAAATAGAAGAACAGCTGAGTAGAAATGATGCATGAATGAGACTCTAATAAATTTCAAAGGCTAAGTACCTGTTATATTCTAGTATCTAGTGATGAGTACATAGGTGAAAGCAGCGTAGGTAAATTCAACGACACGGAGCTGAAATTCTAGCGCACAGACCACAGAGTAAGAACTATCAGAAATGGCACTGATTTTAGTGTTTGGAATGTATCTCACAGTTGCACATTACACTTTTTACTTCAAAACTTTGACGGTACGATTGCACTTTTGCAAAATGCAAACAATGTGTTAACTTTACCTAACCTACAAGCTTGCGCTCACCGATGATGGAGGTATTCAAGCTGCACCATTCAACAAACCGGAACCGGAAGTATCACTCCCGCGAAATATAAATTGCACGCGATCAATTTTTTCCAATCATTTACTTGTAACTCTCAGACATTTCCTACAATGCTACATATTGCCAGTCGCTTAGAACAAAATGGAACCGCCGTTGCGCGTGGGGAGGTACAAATTGGCCGTCTGCGCATGCGCCCCAGCGAGGAGAAACGAGAGTTGCAGCAATTTTTTCGGCAGGCGCATCTTGTCCTCACCTCATTCGCCTAACCGTGCTGAAAACAGGTGAGAATTTTTTTATCTCGTCTGGACGACAGTCACTCCTAGTCTTAGGGCCCTCCTTCCTGTGCCTCAGCACCAGCGCAGTTAAAACATTCTAAAAACGTGCTCAACCCGGTCTCTTTTTTTTCCGTGAGCGTTCATACTGCGTCGTCATGGCTTGGTATGCCCTTACCAGGGCCTCGTGCTCCTCAAACACGTAAATTAGCAGGCCAATGATAAATACGATTAAGATGAGAGTTAGAGCTACAACTGCCTTATCTGTGAGTGGCACAAGTCCCCACAACCTGGAACATAGTCCAGAACAAAACTACAACAAAATCCATCCTCGACAAAATTAAAGCGACATTATATTTAAGAAAGTCAGCTTGCAGGGAAGATGCTGCCTGGGCGTTTTCGGGCGTGGCCTGGTGCCCGGGTGGGCCAGGGCGAGGGCACATACTCCAGGCAGCGTTCATACTGCGTCGTCATGGCTTGGTATGCCCTTACCAGGGCCTCGTGCTCCTCAAACACGTAAATTAGCAGGCCAATGATAAATACGATTAAGATGAGAGTTAGAGCTACAACTGCCTTATCTGTGAGTGGCACAAGTCCCCACAACCTGGAAAAAAAGAAATGAAGTTTAAAAGTCATAATGGACCTGTTCGAAAAATCTTGGTCTCATTACATGAACTTCATGTAAGTTCATGTAACGCAGCGTATAAATCCAACGTCCCAAGTAGCATTTTTCAACGGAAAAATCGCGATTATCCTCGATCTTTTCGCGATTTTATTGCGATTTTATCGGCCCGAAAAAATTGCGATTTTATCGCGATAAGATCGAGGATAATCGCTCAGATGTTGATGTCAGAAGAAATATGGTTAAAAGTTTAGGCAAGTTGTAGAGAGAAATTTTTTTTCGCGTACGGAGACTTTAACGCAAGGTTTAGAGACTTTAACGCAAGGTTTGGAGACTTTAACGCAAGGTTACAGATTTTAACAGAGACTTTAACGCAAGGTTAGAGATTTACGGAGACTTTAACGCAAGGTTAAAGATTTTAACAGAGACTCGAACGCAAAGTGAATGATTTCTACGGAGAGTCAAGCGATCAATGATTTCAGCAGAGAATTTAACGCGCAGTTACAAAGTTAGCGAAAAGTTGACAAACTGAAACTCTTTTTTTTTTATGGCGGAGATTTAACAAGTTCGAACGTCAAAGACCGTAGAGGGGTGATGGGGCAGAAATCTCCACCACAAGGGAACAACAGCGACCTTGCGGACCTCAGCTATAAACCCATTCGAAGAGAAGCCACGCGCGGTTGCCGAATGCGAAAATAGGATCCTTCGCGGTCCGACACCAATGTACAGATAGAAATAAGAAAATTATCGCTAAGCGTAGAAAAATAGCATGATTTATACTTACTAGAACTAATGCACATAAAAGTAGGACGGTAAGAAATCCAAGGCGAGTACGCGGAATGGCACAAATGAAAAATGTCACAAAAAGCAATGCTTCCTTGGAAAACGGCTGAACACCCAAGAAATCGCAAATCTCGGCCGAAGCCGCGAAATATTGGATAAGTAAAATAATGACAAGACTGCACTTGTCGGTAAAGTAGAATTGTTGATAATTTTCTTCCCCTCTTCAATATTTTTTTTGAAGTAAGTAATTCAATTAGAGAATAATATGTATTATATACCTTGAATATATAGAATAAAATATATACTTTGAATTAGAGAATAAATATATACTTTGGAGTTCGGATAGAGGTCTAGATTTCTTTCTATCTTATAATAAAGCTGACTATAGCTCGGCAGAAGTAAAAAGGAATCAATTATTAAGATAAGTGTTAAAATAGTTTTTTCTGTGGTGTTAGTTGAGTCTGACTTTATACGATTCAAGATAAACTCTTTAGGAACAAAAATACTAAATATAATATTTTTTTTGTAAATAAAGTTGTCTTTTAAGTATGAAACAAAGTTGAAAAATTTGGAATTTCCTTTGGGGTAGAATAGGGAGTTAAACATTGAAAAAAATTTAGAATTCTCAGTCTCTTTTCATTTTTTATTTTTGAAAAAAAAAATCTTAAAAATAGATAACAACACTAAACTCTAAAAATTCAACTCGGTCGCAGGAAGCGCATCGTTTCCGAAAACCACTCATCGGGGAGCTGAGAAAAATCCACCGTAACACAGAGAAAAAAACCCCTTAGTTTCGAAAAAAAAAAAGAAAAGAGAAAGAGAGTCAAGGAGAAAATGAATCTTTTTTTCTCATGAGAAAAAAAAAAGGAAAAATACTAATACGAAACGAACCTCTTTCTGTTTCAACGAATGAACGCAAGTAATCATGAAGGGAGTAACAACCATCGGGCCAGGATCCCGCACCCAGAAAGTAACAAAAGCCGTTTCAAGTTATCCTGCCGTGAAAAACCTCGACGGTAGCACACAGATCAATTTCCAAAAACACCAGAGCACCGGACGGGATATCGACGCCCGGGTCGAGGCTGGGCTCGTAATACGAGCAAAGAACGACGTCCCGGAACCCCAGGAGGCGTCGACCAAAATGTCCAACGACGGATTCAGGGGCGAAGTCGCCCAAAACACAGAACTGAGTGATAAATTGTTTTATGAAGTTAACGTCCCATTTCCGCACTAAGAAGAGATGAACAGGGCCTAGATCTATGTGGACCGCCCGGGAAAATAAGGTAAAATCTCCAAACAAACGGTGTTGTCCCGAAAAGTAACGCGGAGAAGACATGTTGATGCGAAAGTCAGGAGAGAACTGAGGATGTCACCAAAAACTAACCATGGGATAGAATATTGCACACCTGACACCAAATTTGTGATGGCAATGGGGAGAAATCGGGGGGAGTGATGAAAGAAAATATAAGTCCGGAGATGTGGTAGATAAGAATGTAATACGTGAAAAAAAAATATGAACGACGGCAACAAAAAATCAGAAAACTCAGGAAGTACAGAAAAAAAAACAGTGACAAAATCAGGAACTCAGGAAAAATATCAAGATCAAAAAAAAAAAAATGGGGCAGAATGAAATCGATAGTCGGGGCAAGTCTCCAGAAAAGAAAATCTGTCCTCTGAGAGGGTCGCGATCAGAGTCCCGTGGCCTCCTCCCTCGGTAAGGCCCCGGACTCCTATCGTCCTCCCTTTTGCCATTTTCGCCGGACAACCCCCAAAGTTGGCCATTGGTCGTCCTAGGTCGGGAGAGAGGGATGCTGCGACACGGCGTTGCAACTTCGGGATCGCTGGGGTCGTGGACCAGGCAGGTTGGACCCTGGTCGAGTGGCTGATTTGGGGCCCCCGCAAAGGCGCGGTTTTTGACTGGTCAGTCNGATGCTGCGACACGGCGTTGCAACTTCGGGATCGCTGGGGTCGTGGACCAGGCAGGTTGGACCCTGGTCGAGTGGCTGATTTGGGGCCCCCGCAAAGGCGCGGTTTTTGACTGGTCAGTCTGGGCTGACCAGTGTGGACCCCGTAGCTCTAAAGAGCCTAGGCCCCCCCGTCGTTTCGGGAGCGAGGATGCGCGGTCCAGCGGGACAGTGATAACGGCCCATAAAAAAAACTCAGGTGGCCGCAAGAGGGATTTTGAATGGTTTGGCCCGGTACGGCGAGTGACCATTTGTCTCTCTCTCTCCTGTCCGATCGTGCTGTGGGCATGCTCGTCGCTCTGGTATGCATTGTTTTGGCCACGGTGGTGACCGGTCCCCGATCCCATGCTTTGGCCGTATCATCACAGATAACTGGGTCACTAAATTATCAAGCACAGGTAGGAATACTTTAGTTTTAATATTTGTTGAACAAACTACCTGAGTCTCCAGTGTAATCAATTCCGAGTTCATCAAAAAATCTTGTTTTTCGACTGATACGTTTAGTTGAAAATTCAATACCATGTTTTTCATTGAAATCAATAATTTCTCTCTTAATTTTATCCCACCCACTATCACTACGCAAGATTTTCAATTGATTGTGAGAATTTGAAATTAAAAACTTCACAACGCCTAAGTCCTCCTCCGCGTCATCGTGATCTTGACTTAACTTTCAATTGGTCAATGAACAGCTGATCAACAGGAGTTGATTGCTGCTCAAGAGTTTCAAAATCATCTTTAACAGATTCATTTGTTTTTGGAGGAGCCGTTGTTGAGGTTACTGCAGGTACCTCAACTGATGGCTTCTCAGTTTCGGGCCCCTTGCCTTTGCCCCCAGACGATTTCTTCTTCTTGGAGGAGGAATCATCAGGAACTGCAGAGGCACCCTTTGGCTGCTTGCCATTCTTATTACATAGGCTGTCCAAAAAGTACCGAGACTGGTTCTATAACTCCAAAACTAAGATAGCTAGAGGCTTGATCTTGGTTTCATTTGAAAGATTAACTCAATATCTATCGATTGAAACCAAAATCAAAACTTTCGGTCAAATATTTCAAAAGTTACAACACTGTTTGTAAAAAAATTATCTGGACCCCCTACCGTTTTTTAATGACTATTTTCTCTTGCCGGGAACACTCTCCAAATTATTAATGATCAGTACACGGTCATAGGGCCAGCGCTACAACCACTACACCACAGGAGGCCGACATTTTTTTTTTTTTTTTTTTTTTTTAANTTTTTTTTTTTTTTTTTATTAATACCAACACCAACCGTGTTTTTCTGGATCGTGGGATTATTCTCCTCTCATTCTATCCTGGATGGTCGGAGTAGATGGAACAGGGGGTAACGGCAGGATGTTATGTCTCTCTCCATCCAACAAAGAGATGAGAGGTTTATTGGAGTAGTTGCCCAGACGCCACTGCCTTATGGATTGAGTATCAATTGTCCTAGCTCCTTGCGATATCTTGACAATGAGTACCGCTTCTTGTACTAATTCCTGAATTGCGGGAGACTGATCCACCCCTTCCGCCTGGGGCAGAGTTGTCTGTCCGTATTCCTCTGCTACCGCCCTAGCAATTGTGAATGGGATCTTAAGGTGTGTAGTTTTAAATTCTTCGACCATTTCATCAGGTAAGAGGAGCTTAATCCAGTCGGCATATTTTCCCATTGCAGCATATTTGCGGTAAGCTTTGATAATACTGGGGAAGTATTTTGCTAGGGCATTCCAGCCCATCAATTCTGGGTGTAGCACTAATAACTGCTGAACGATGCTAGCAAAATTCGTTAGCTCTGCGCCTCGAAGCAGAACTAGCACGGTCGACGCCGCTGTGCCAATCGGACCGGTCTTCGTTGATAAGATCCATGCTTCGATGAAGCATCTACGCCTCAATTGCCACCTTGCACGGATTTCCGCATTGTATCTCCTGCAGAACTCGAGAGACGGTTGATACTTCATTAGTTCGGTGCTGTCTCGCTCTAAACCCAACGCCGCTCCGTATGAGTTAGTCCGCCGCTCCATCCACGGAGTATAATTAGATGGATTTAATGTTTTGCGAATTAAATTTAACAGCAAAGAAGTAACGTAAATGCAATGACGCTGGTTCATATTCTTATATTCGCCAACGTCCTGCCATGTACTGTAAAGTTATGCTCAACAACAAAATCTGCTAATTTCAATGGACTAGCGAAATAGCCTCTTTAGTCAACAAGGATTTTACATCTGAATAAAAGTTTAAGTCCACACAACCGATCAATGCCAAACCAATAGACAGTGAAGTTTCCATGCCCGTTTCATCCGATGTATAGAGTCTGAGAAGTTGTTTAAAATGGGTCTTTAAGGAGACGTCTTTGTCACGCTCTATCCATGATATTTCGGGGATGGCTAATTCAGACAGTCTAACTATTGGAGTGTCTACTTTTTCGAGACCGTTCTGGATTGCTTCTCCTTTTGTGGATGCTGTGAGGTGTCACGATCAGCCAGAACGTCGCGAAGAACTCGGAACTCACCTGAAGAGTTTTATGTCTCCCGGGGAGTTTAAGAAGTCATTATGATACGAAGGAAAATCAGAAGGTTTTAAATTTGCCAAAGCTAATGTAACAGAGCTCTCGTCGTATATTTTACAACATGAGTACGGAATTCCTCATGGTACATTCCATTGCATTGTATGATAGGGTCAGTCAGCGTCAGAAGTTCGTCGGTAGATCCAGGGCGTTTTGGGGTACCTGTCCAGTCAGGGGCAGAAGCCGGTCGTTTCAATGAAGGGAGGGGGGTCAGGGAGGAACACATCATCCTCTAAGCTCTCTTCTACACTAAATGATGGTGATAATATCAAACATGTAGTGGTGCCTGTGAGGATACTACTGTCATTGCTAGAATTGTCATAAAAGGAAAAGCTGGATTTAAGTTTCGGCGTTGAAACCATCAACGGGTAAAAAACGGGGGGAGTCAATGTATCGTGATCGTCAGTGGGGGAGGGGGGAGGAGAGGGCTGGTAGTCATTGAGGGCAGGGTCTTCAAAAATGTCGTCTAAAAGTGCAATTGTTGAGGGGCTCATAGGTGTCATTGCAGAGGGGGAAGGGATCGGTAAGTTCATAAAGGTTGTCCGTGATAGTGGTGTTGCGTCCAACTCTATAATCTCTATGGGGGGGAGGGGAAGCGGTCTTTCGGGGCTTGGCGGCGAAAAAGTCTCTTTCGTAGTTCGTTCGAGTGTCAATGATGTAGTCAATGCGTCTGTCAGGGTGTTGTAGGGGCAGGGGTCTGAAGATGGTCATTATTTTAATGTTTGCGAAGGTAGCTTGCAAAATTTTCATCGGGGATGTTGCTAAGTTGCAGCTTGAGTTTGAATCGCTCGAAGTACTCTTCGAGGGGTTCGCTGGAGGTTGCCGAATACGCAGGAAAACTAAACTGTTGACTTTGTTCCCACACTTTAGCTCTCACTTCATTCACCGGAAATCGTTTTAATTTACAATTTTTTGCATTGTGCGAACATTGGACTGCACAGCACGTAGCAGGCATGGTACTTGGTTATTAAACAAATAATTAAGAAACAGCTATTACATGACTAGATTTAGCAATAAAATTTAAACGAACACAATTCAACACTTCGACACATAGCACATGATATCAAGGAAACATAACCTCAAACCTTCAGTCGTATGACAAGATGGCGTCCCATTGGGTTACTTGCCATAAGAAGTGAGGATCTGGCGTACCCACTCCAGGAGCGATGAGCAAAGCAATAACCACCGGAGTTCGAGGTTACCCTAGAGTGGGTGCTTATTGATATGTAGTGAGTCTTTGGAGATTTCGCGTCGCGTCTGCCCGTTCTGGTGTGCATGGGGTTCGGTTGTTTGAAAAATAAAGGAAAGAAAGTCCATTATCATCATCACGAAACGCGGATGCGGAGATGAAAATTCCCATTTCCATGCAACTTAAAGAATGAAATTGGTTTGATACTTATTAATATGTATAAAATATGCTTTTGAGATACACCTATTAAAAATCATGTAAAATACCTATAAAATAGATGGATCTGTAATGGCTCGGGGATTCATACAACAACAAAAAAAAACACGAATCGCAGTCCGATCGGGCCTCGGGGGCCATCCGGATCCAGCCGCCGAGGCTCGAGGCGGGAAAAGGTAACAAGAAAAGGAGAAGTCATGGGTTTAAGGGGTTTAGGGGGCCGCGCACTCCGTCACATCACGAGAGAGGAAAAACTAAAACAATCACCCCAAAGGGATGAAAACTGGGAGAACTTACATCTTTTCTGGATCGGGGAACGGTCTTCGGCTAACTGAACTCTACGACCAATCAGGCGTCGTCCACTCCCCCTCCACCAGAGGCGCTGCTCAGGTGAGCGGAGAGTGGACGGAACCCGACTGGCGGCAAATTTGATTTAAGCTGTCAGTCCCATTACAGATCTAACTATGTATATTTTATACCCCATAAAATATCTATTAAATACCTACAAAATAGGGTATCCGTACGATGCCCATTCGATGGCACTATTTTGGCTACTAGGGTATACGTTGCCATGTCGTCCACAAGTATATCACAGTACCAATGTATATGTCCACGCTGTGTACCTGGACTTTACGTAGAGGTCCTTTTGCTGATTCGACTCTATGCCTTCCGACCTAACTGGTGAGGTATAGCTCAAGACTTCTAGTGTTGGAGCCCATAAATATCTTAATGTAATTCTCCGGTTATCTGAACAATAGCGTTTTGACCAAATGTTATCATTCAAGGCAAGGAACTGCTGAAAATTGAGATTTTTACCTTGTATTCCTGATGTGAAACTCGTTGTGTTGGTTGTTTACACAATGATCATTTCGGTCATTTTCTCAGCCTCTTCAGGTATGCTTACTACCATAAAAACCGTACGAACGCACTCGCGACCGCGGTCAATTGTTAAGAGCATAAGGATGCGTGAAGTGTCCAAGGATTACTGGCTTGATTTTGACGCATATATTTATCCTGATAAGAGGAAAGGATGGATGGAGGTATGATCAGTGATGTCACATTACTCTCTATTTGTGAATTGAGGAGTTTTTCATCCTTACAAATGTCAATGTTGAACTGATATGTTACGTTTAGTATTCTACTTTTTTTTACCTCGCGTTAGAAGGCATTATTATGCGTGGCGTTCACTGGGGAAAAGGAACACATTGGATCTAGAGTCCAGACTCTTGAAAACATTGACAAGAAAAAGGACTCTTGATTCAATCAGATTTAAGCGTGAATCGAAAGGAAATCCGCTCAAATTAAGAGGCTTGGTTCTTGATTTAAGTTTAAATCTGATTGAATCAAGAGTATTTTTTCTTGTCGATGTTTTTAAGAGTCTGGACTTTAGATCCAATGTGTTTTTTTTCCAGTGTTTATGCACTCTTACTCTGGTATTTACTGGCCCGCCTGTTTGACCAGTATATCAACAAGTTGCAGCAAAGCACTTTTTTTTCTTCTTCTTTTTTTTGCGGAGGCAGAATAATTTTTCAACGTATACTATCGTCAATTTTGAAAGTGCTCGAAAAGAATGTCTATCGAAAGCCAATATAATTCAAAAGTAAAAATGTAGATACAAAATTCGTTATTTTTCAAGACGTATACCGAAATTTTTGAGTTCAGGAATTTTCCGCATGAACCTATCAAAATTATATGGTTTTCATTTCCTGGTCATTTAAGCAACATTAACTTCCAAAGATGTTGGCCATGCAATCGCTTGGAAGTTTTTTTCTACGCACAGAACGGATTCAGAGGAAAAGAATGATAAGCCGTTGAGGCGAAAACTATGTGACAAACATACGAAATTACTTATTCACATCCTGGCTAAGGAATAGTGTCAGTTTAGTATAAAATAACATTCCGTACGCATTTTTTAGACAATTTTATTCAGTGATAACAACAAAACATTTTTAAATCAATATATAACAGCGTTTCACCTCACTCCGTTTCAGATACAATGGTTTAAAAAATGTGATTAACTGTATTATGTGCTGAATATTCCCCTTTAATGGAAAATTTCCACTTATTTGTCATTCCTCACATGTGGAGAATACAGTAGGCAACATTGACACTTCATTCAGTATTAATCGGAGCAAGAGTCACTAAACAATGAACGAATTTTGACTGTCGAATTCATTTTTCCTCAGGTAAATGACGCGTGGACCACGCACGATGCGCACATTAAAAACGCAAAATAGTAAGAAACCGTGAAATACGCAGTTCAAAAAATGCAAGTTTTCTGCAAATTCAAAACGCTCCGTTTTCGCACCGAACCGAATGATGACATCCGGCACCAATCAGAAGCTAGCACGGCTTTCTACGACTACGACCGTCCAATAGCCCCACATACACGGTGAAAGTGGACCTTAATATTGGCTTAATGTGGGAGTCACCGATGCGTTGTTGAGCGGTGACCTTCAAAGTCACTTTAAACAGCAGTTACACGATTAAATCGGCAGGGCCTAGCATTGTTGCCGAGCTAGAGGCCCAATACAAATTTTTCATAAGAGTTCAAACGGGTTAGTGAACATATTTATACAACCCTGACAACAGTGACTTAACTTGTTTGGTTTTTTAGAATTCTGGAAGTGCACGTGAATATTGAAGGTTATGTGTTGATTGTTTTTTGTTATTTCCAACCATGAAAGAAATTTCAACCGAACATATTATGATTATTTTGGGTAGGTGAATTATTGTTCATAGGTTCAGGAATAACTTTTTTGGGCTGAACCACTACCCTCGTGGATTTGTCATCGTGCACACCAGCTCTACCTGCTAGCGACTCCCAGCATGATTTACCCGGCTTGGGCATAATTTTAATTTTAAGTAGGACTGTTCTCTTCACGTTCTTGTTCCTATCGATGAAAGACATTTTAATGACTGAAAATTGCGAAACGCATGCGAAAACGAATAAAAAAAACTCCACTAACCACACTACACGACCGGGAGAAAACCAAACACAGAGCAATCCTCCAGAGGATGGCAGAGAATGGTGATCGTCGATTCAGAATACCATCGGTGAGCCTTAATAATCGTCGGCCCGGCGAATATTAAGGTTCACTGCTCAACAACGCATCGGTGACTCCCACATTAAGCCAATATTAAGGTCCACTTTCACCGTGTATGTGGGGCTAATGTCTTTTGAACTCCTCGTATTTGAAAATAATAAAAAAGTCGAAACTTTATCCCCAGATTCAATGAATCTCATCCATGTTATTCGTGGTATCAACAAGCAACAATTCCCTGTTGAAATTCGTGTTTTTCCCACAAACATCAGTGGAAAATAAGCGAAGAGAGCGATTTGACTTTCGTAGTCCCATTCTGGGACGTTCGAAGTTCCTTCGAGTCTTTAGACTTTTTAAATGCGGGCTTGTCTGGGATTTTGGCTCCAAAAGTACGCAGTAAATCACCGCGTAATCTACGCACCTGGTACTCTCAGAATAGTGAACAATACAAACAAGGTTTAGTGACCCATTGAAACCCATAAATCTGTCTCCACCTCAGCCTCTTAAGCAACTTACTCGGAAATTATGCACTGTTCATTTGCAGTACGAACTCAGATGCGAGAAACAAACGGTTTAATTCTAACTTCGCTGAAATTCAGTAAGTCAGTATAAACTTCTAAAGGTAATTTGGTAAGCAGGTACGAATCTAACGAAGCAAAACAGTGTTTAGGTCTTTAATTACCGAACTGTATCCAAGGATACACGGAGAACAATCGTATTGGAGAATTTGCAGGTGTCTGAAATAGTTTGAGTTTCATTTTAAAGAAGGAACTACTGAGTGAACTGAGCATGAAAATATCCTTGGTTTTGAAAATAGACAATTATTAACGGAGGTATGACGCCTAATCTGCTTAAATACACGTGCTCAAATGTTAAATTCCGCCTGTTAACGTCGCAAGGAGGCAGATTTTCTCACTTTTAAATGCGTTCCCCTACAATTTTTCACATTAAAAAATTATAAAAAACACTGCGAACGCAGCTCATGAAGCTCATCAGATGCAGCATTAAACACTTTCGTGCAAATTCTCCATTGGATCAATAGGTGACCGATAAGGGACCTGTTCTCCTGAGAAAAGTTTCCTTCCCTTTTAGCAAATCCTTAAATCATGTTTTTTTTTTTTTTTTTTTTTTTTTTTTTTTACAATCCAACAGTTATTCTCTTGAAAATTTCGAGACTAACATCTCCTTCAATTTTTTAGATAAGGATCAAACCCGCGTCGCAATTGCCAGATTTTCTACCTCCACGCATTTGCAAAAAGTTTAGGAAAGTCTTCTCGCCGAAGATAAGGTCCCTTTCCTCAAGTCCGGTTACAATTATTAAGAATTTTCGGTCGAGAATTCTCGTTGAATCAACAAGAAATCTCCTCGTTTCATTTTGCCATTCCAAAGAGACAACCTGTGACTTCAAAGATGTATCCGGTTGACCTAACAAGCATTCTCGGCCGGGAATTATTCACTATAAACGTTCTCTCAGTGTGAGGGCCCATAATGTTTTAATGGGCGTTTTCAGGTTTTTTTTAACAATGTGCGAATTATATTCAATGAAAATTAGCAGTGCCTATAGCGAAACGCGGGAGGGAGGCGGGCAGCGAAACCAGTGATCGCAGAATGAAGCTTGGAGAGCAAGACCTTTCAACGCTGCCGTGCCAATGAAAAACGCCGTATGAACATCTAGGCATTGTCAAATTTCCTGGCAAACTTATGAATAATTTCCTTCCGGTCTTTCCGCTAACTTTGCTCGCAATCCCACCCGAAGTTCCTGAAAATTTCAAAGAAAAACATGCGTATCTTCTCTCAAAAATTTAAAATTGTAATGAAGGAAATATGACAACTCTTGGCTGTTCATACGGCGCTCTTCCTTAGCACGGCAAAACGGAGGGTGTAAAAGGAGCCTTTTCATAATCTCGGTGGGGACGGACTCCCAATCTCCCGTGCTGAGGAAATACGCCGCGTGACCTTTCAAATGTTGCCAAATTTCCTCCCAAAAATTTTTTTTTTGAAGAAGAAGTTTCGAATATTTTTTCTTGAAATTTTCAGTCACTTACATCAGATGGACCACATTTTGCAATAAAGTAGCACTATATTTCTGGCTCATCTTCGAAGCAACATATACACCATTGGTTTCGCTGTGCAGAAAGGTGCTTTTGTGGTAGAGCCAGAGATGCCGTATTGCATAATGTAATCCAAATTACTAGCAAAACTCAGAAAAATAGGGAGAAAAATATCCGCAGCTTTTCCCGAAAATTTGTAATTTGTTCGAGAAAATTTGACAAAATCTGAATGCGCATACGACGTTTTGCCTTAGCACGGCAGTAATGCCCTGCGGCGTGGCGTGCTTCTGTTGTTCCCGAATTTGTTAAAACAAGCCGACGTCTTTCTTCAGTATATCCTGCTTCCACTTCGGGAATTTCGCAAACTCCTTGTACCGCATTCCAAATACAGCAGCAAAGTCCTTCTCGTTGAGGTGCATCTGCAAAATAAAGTGATAAAAATTATGGAAAACGGAAAGTCTTCTAATACGAACGAAACGGGAAGTAAGGGAAAAAATTCTGTCGTAAGAACCATGAGTAGACGGCGGGAGATTTTGATACCACACGTCTCCTCACATGAACTGCATTTTGCAATTTGGAACTATAAAGTCTGGCTCATCTGAAAAAAACACTTATGTGCATAGGAAAACTAATGGCACATACGTTGTTTTTAATCCGGGCCAGAATTTATAGTTCCAAATTGCAAAATGCAGTCCACATGTTCTGTATGATTTTACAGCATGTATTATGTTTATTCTAGTCTCGAAAGTTTCCCACTGCATCTCCACACAAAATAATTATTACCACGGTCGAATACTATTTTTTCAAATATTCCTCCTTTCATAAAACGGACTATTTTTCGGCTTGGATAAAATGTTGAAGAAGTCCATCTCCAAAAACCACCTTTGGCACCAAGTCAGAGGAAAAATTTCATTCGATAATTTCCACTTGTTTTTACCGCCGAATAGCTAAAGTACTCGTAGATAACATTTGGACTACATTTTGCAATTTGGAACTATAAATTCTAGCCCGGTTTAAAAACAACGCATGTGCCATTAGTTTCCCTATTCACATAAGTGTTTTTCCAGAAGAGCCAGAATTTATAGTTCCAAATTGCAAAATGCAGTCCATTTGTAAAACGCTCCATGCTTCCGTTCTTCTCCTCTAAGATTGAAAATTTTCAAGCGGCGCACTCATTTGCAATGCTCACCTCTTTGTGAAGTAAATCCACGTTTTTCGGCAGTTTCTCGGGCTCCTTTTCGATCAAATTATGAAAAGGATATTTCGGGTAGTCTTCAAAATCAAAGGCTGGTCCCGTGTTCAGTTTCAACTCCACTTGAATCGTCGGTTTAGCGTTTTCAAGCTCCTTTCGCACCTCTCCGAAGGTTTTGTGGCTCTAGAGGTGACCAAGAAAAAGTTAATGAAGTAATAATAAAATAAAATGATATCACACAACTGCATGTTTCGCGATGTACTATAACTCCATCCAGTTCTAATTTTTTACCTGTTACTTTTGAGAGAAATGCACTCAAGCAAGCTTAGTAGGTTTCCATATCTATGAACATAATTTTGTCGATAGCTAAATTTGTTGTTTCAATTGCAACAGTTAAAATTCTCCATTAAGATTCATTTTCTCCGAGGTAACTAAGCTGCATGAGAATTCATGTTTACTAAGGCTCACGTGGAAATGCAGACGGATACTTTTTGCCTAAGTGCGTCTAAGTATTCGGTCTCAATGAAAACGGGCACTGATCATCGCCTTTTCCAGTAACACATTTACGTGGATTTGGGTACATGAAGAATTTGAAAATTTACGAGTGCCCGCTGGGGTCTCAGCTGAATATTTTCTTTTACTATTCAATTAAGTCGTTAAATTCCTCAAGACGTGGTTGAAATCGTCTCTCCAAGTTATCTTGGCTCAAGTGTGACTACTCTTCCTTAAATTTAATCAACGACAAAAGTTGAATCACCATCCCTGGCCCGGGTTGCCAATTACTTCATGGGAATGTTAACTTTCCATGCATCCATCACTGTCATGATCATTCCCTTATTTCGGGCGTTCTTTTATGTCAAGATGAAGAGCGAAGTGATAACTTTTAGCATCACTTTTTTACTGTTTGTTTCTGTTCCTTATTTGTTTGCCTTAGTTATTTATTTGTTTTGAAGCTTCCTATAGTATTTAATTATGTATCTGGTCAGTTTATTATTTTTGTTATCTTTTGTGCGTTTTTTGGATCTTAAGGCGAAATCCGGGGTTTTCCTAAACTGCCTTTCAATGTTCAAAACAAAGATTTTAAAGTTGAGCCCGCAACGTTGGATAATGTTCAAATGCCATCGAGACTCCCAATTTTGTCATTTTCTTTTAAATGCGGGGCAGGGAGACCAATTAAGTTTAGAAGCAATTCATTTTAAATGTTTCATTTACACTAGTTATTTAAAGTAACCATAATGTACAGTCACTGTAAATTATGCACTTAGATAGTGCCAAGGACACTGGCCCGCCCAATAATCGCTTGTATTTATCCCAAGCTAAAATTAATAGGGTTAAAACGTTATTGGAGTACCCTGTGTGTTTAATTAATAAATCAATTAAAGTAAAAAAAAAAATAAAATCTTCTGCGCTTGATGCCGCATGAGGTCCATTCTGCCGTGCTAAGGAAGAACGTATGAGCCTTTAGGCGTTTCCAAATTTCCTCTGGCAAATCACTAATTTTCAGGCCGATTTTTGAATATTTTTCTGCCAATTTCTTAGATAATTTTGTTCGTAATTTTATCTGAAGTGTGTGAAAATTTCGAGGAAAAATATTCATAATTTTCCTCAAAAATAAACATTTTATCCGAGGAAATTTGGCTACTCTCGAATGTTCATACGGCGTTCCTCCTTAGCACGGTAGCATCGTCCGCCTAAAATCACTTACTTTCCATAAATCATCGTCCCATCGGGCAAAGAAACTGGTGAAGACTGGTGGTTCGTGTCCTTGTTTTATCAATACGATGGGAATTTTCACATCTCTTCCGGAGGGATCTGAAAAATCGAAGTGAAATGTCATATAATTTAACACGGAATTCGCCTTTAAATTGTTTTAATGAGCCTCAAGATCCTGTAAAAATACAATTTTCAGCAACCACAAAGCAACTCAGCATTCTACATATAGAAAGATCCTTACGTTTGCACGAACTTGCATCTACGACTCATTTGTACAATCTGAGATGTTTTAGACCCCTTCCTGCAGAATCAATTTAAATAGATTCTGATTTCGTCTCGAGCCTTCAGCTTTCTTCCATCAAATGAAGAAGGAAAAGTGAAGTTACTCTGTACTCTATGAAAATAGATAAATATTTGGACAAAAACGTAAAATTTTTAGGAGACTGAATACAAATTTCTGTGATACATGTGTACGTTTCATGGAGGAGGCGGGTATGTAGGGGAAAAAACAAGCGGAGCGAGAATGTGTAAATCAATTTTTGGCTCATATTATAAATGAGAATTCCTCTTACATTTTCCTCTCTTAAAGCTTCTGTTTGTTTTTGTGAAATGTGTTTTTTGTTTTCGTAGTCCACTTTATGTATTTGCCTTTCATTGATGTGTATTCATTTTGCAAATGTCAATGCCATGTACCATCGAGGACTTAATCATTCAGCTGTAATTAATTGTGCACTTATGATCCTGTCTCAATAAATATGTGATAGCTCGTCTGAGCTGTTTCAAACGTTAATTTTGCGTCATTATTTCAGTGAAATACCTAATTCATGGTTGATGAAAGAGGAAAAATATTAATCGGATGTAATATTCGTAGTATCCTGTAAGTCTGCGGACATTCTAGAACTAGGAAAATATAAAGATTGAAAAATCCTTATAAAGCCAACAGAAGCTGTTTTTTCAATGTCTCTAATCGTTCAAGATCAAGCTCAAATGCGCCTTCATCGTCTCTCTTTAACAACCTTTTTTGAAGAGAACGTAAACAACATTTTTTTTGGAAGGAACTGGAAGTTAGTCAGATGTCCATGCTGAGATGTGAACGGTCGGAATTCGAAAAGGGCCAATTTTCTGAAACTCGTAAGTCTTTTTTAGAATTCTATTCCTTCAATGTTTTGTTGTTGATGAGATAGAATGTAGATTGCACGCACTTGCCCTAACATGAAGTAAAAACTATAGGAAATGTTGATAAATAATAAAAGTATACGTCAACCCAATGCGTAAAGAAGCAACCACAACGTTTAATGCAAACCACCAACCTGATTTCAAGTATTCAATAGCAAGTTGAATGCAGCTCCGTTTCTCTTCTTGATTTGCCTCGGCACCAATCCAAATGAAAAGTGTTTCCCAAGTATCCATGATCATGATATCCTCTGGCATCAAATCTGTCTGCTGATAATGGACAACTTCCTCAACTGTCAAAAATTACAGATCATTGTTTTTCTCAATCGAATCTCAGTCAAAAAGTATTGCTCCTAGTTAAGTGAACTTCAATTCTTCTTAATTATTTGGTATACGTACTATCTTACTTTATAGAACAGCCTAAACGAGCTCCTAGAATGTTTTTGCCAGTTTGCGATGAATATTTGGAAATCGGTCATGGAAACAAACCCTTATTTTTGTTAAACTTAATTTCATCTGAGTGACCTAGACGCAAGGATAGCAAAAAATATGCATAATTTTTCGGCCCGAAAATTAAGTTCCGTATTGCATATTATATTGAAAATTATTAATTTCACCCGAGAGACTTAAACGCAAGGATATCAAAAAATATGCCTAATTTTTCGACCCGAAAATTAAGTTCCGTATTGCATTTTACAGTGAAATTATTAATTTCACCCGAGAGACTTAAACGCAAGGATATCAAAGAATGTACATACATTTTCAGGCCCGAAAATTAATTCCGTATTGCATTTCACAGTTAAAATTATTAATTTCACCCGAGAGACTTAAACGCGAGGATACCAAAAAATATGCATTATTTTTCGGGCCCCAAAATTAAGTTCCGTATTGCATTTTACAGCGAAAATTATTAATTTTAATCGAGAGACTTAAACGCAAGGATAGCAAAGAATGTGCATACTTTTTCAGGCCCCAAAATTAAGTTCCGCACTACAGTTTACAACGAATATTTATATTCGCACGTTCTAAGAGTGAGGATTTTAGCATTCTTGATCCGGAGTACATTAAATTGTGAAAAAACACATCATTGCAAATCCGATCTCCGTTTTGAAGTACATGCTTTTGGAATAGTATTTACATCAGTGATAAGCATCTAGAATTTCTTTTAAAAAGTTTCTGCCATCCCATGAATCGCTAGCACATGGGAAAATAAACCCATTTAACAGGCACTCCATTTTTATCAAACAACAATAATTATTTGTCTCTAAGCAAAGAAGCAGTAGATCGGACTTGCTTACCTTTGAGATATCCGCATGGACTAGAACAGCAGAAAAGTCGTGGCGAGAGGCAGTGAACCGGATTTTCTGGTAGTCTTTTATCAGAGTAGATGTCTCTTCCTCCGATATCCTCCCAAAATGTTTCTTTTTCTTGTCCTACAAACAATAGAAACAGTATTTTCCTCTATTAAAGTTTACAATACATATTCCTGTCTTTTAAGCGCTCTCTCTGTCCAGTCAAGGCCCTGGCTGAAGAGAACAAACTAAATCGTTGGAAATTTTCAAAGTGTGTTTTTTCTTTTTACTACCGCACGGCTGCGATGCACTATTAAAGGTAAGTGCACTTTTCATTTCCGTCTTCGCTGTAATTCAACATCACATATTTTTCTTTCTTTATTTATCTTTATTTTTATTTTACTTTTTAATAATTTACTCATATACTTTCAAAGCAAAGGGTCGTTTTGAAACGCTTACCCTCGTAAAGTACGAGATGTTGTGGAGCGTACTTTTCAGCTATGTGCTTGGCCATATCTCGTTCATCTCCAGTCGATTTCCGCCCGCACCATATGTAATTCTGTTCATCTTTACCTAATTTTAGGACGTATACGTAATTTGTATTTAGCGACGCAGCTCTCAAGTGGACCTAGAAAATTTAAAGAGAGGTTTTAAACACTTAATTTACGAAGCTGAAGGGCAGGGAAACATGCACCTTCGTCACGAAATGTCAAAATTTCCGATCGTATTTTATTCATATGCTTTTCTTTTAGGAGCAAATTAACGAATGTATATCATTTCTCTAATCTACTCGAAACAAGACCCAGGAATCAGGTCATGTCATGTTTTCTTACGTTAGAGTATATTTTGAAGACACCAAGAAAATACGCCGTTGTCAGTAGAGATTTTTTTCCAACACTCTCACTGTTACATTTCCAATTATAGTTCCATCGTCGAAACACCTATACAAATACTGCTGCCAACAATATGAACTGAAAAACTTTAAGCCTTGAAGCTTTCGAAGGCATCAATCAAACGCAATGTTTTCCCCTTGAGCAGTATTGAAATTATCAGGCACGTTAAGTGTAATTCTAAGATCGTTCTAAAACAGCTGTGCATATTTGAGTCTCTACCAAAACGGAGGGTTAGATATTTAACAAACCATTTCAGTGTTATATCTCTGAAGAAACTAGGTGACGCCACAGATTCTGTGATAGATTTTCGGAGTTTCACACCTGTCTTTACACTCGTTGAATAGGTTCTCTGCGTTAAACAATCGGCTCTTGGTGAGGCAGTCTGTCTCATCGATTTATTCGATGGATTTAAAAGGAGTATTGAAGAAAGTCAGCAAACAGCTGTCGAAACAGCTTGGCGCTATGGTCATGTTAACAGGAAGACAGAAGAGAAGCTGCCGAAGAAGATACTTGATCGGGTTCCTCCTGGAAGGAGACGAAGGGGACGCCCAGTGAAAGGGTTTCGACAGGGGGTATTAGAGGAAATGAGGGAGTGCCAACTCCCTGAAGGGCTTTGGGAGAATAAGGGACTTTAGCCGCTGGGTGTCGCAGAGGCGAAAGAGCGCTATGGTAGCGGCAGGCCCGCCACAAGGGGGGGGGATACTGGGTCCTTGGTACCGGGGCCCGGGCCCTGGAGGGGCCCGTGACGCAGGTGACAAACCACTACGAATTCATGTGTAACCCTTGTCTCGTAGGGAAAAGTGAAAAAATTACCCTAAAAATTCCGCAAAAGGTGAATAAAGTTTCAAAAACACGCTAGGGCACTATAAAATTTTTCTTACTTTTTTAGCGATTTTCAAGATTTTGAGTATAAGTAGAATGATATTTTTAGTAACTGTGTTTCATTTTCTTCCGTCGTCGGATGCCAAGAGGCTCCTTTCTGGGCATCCTCGACTTCAATGGCTTAACTCCCTTGCCATAGACGTACGAAAGGGGAGTCCAGGGGGGCCCGGCACCCCATAGAATTGAAAATTATCATCTGCCCCCTCAAAAATAAATTTATAGATGTTTTGAATGCAACAATTCGAAAGTTTTTGGTGCTGAAAGTAAACAAAAAGGCGTAATTATTCTGCAGAAATTGATGGAAAATCTCCATCATAGGAGCTTCATAATGCGTCGAAATAGATTTAAAATTTCAAAAATTTCCCGGGGGAGGCCCCCCGGACCCCCCTTCCCCCCCGTGCTAGGGGCCCGGGCCAGAAAATTGGTACCAGGGCCCGAGATGGGATGTGGCGGGCCTGGGTAGCGGCTTACCTGATAGGCACGAGTCGTTTCCTGAGATGTGCCCCTGACTTGGAGCATGAAATTCCTCGGCATCTCGTCGGAGTGATCGCCCTGCATTATGAGGAGTCTCCCGCGGAACATGTGGAGGAAATGGGGTGGTTCTTTCCCTTCGACCACTCGCACTTGCACCGCGATCCCTCCCAGCCTCTCGTCCTCCGCCACCGTGTGGTATGCCAGTGCCGTCTGTTCCATCACCGTCGAGTGCAGTCCCTGAAAACGAGATACCAACCTTTTGCAATGGGTCACTAAACCATGAACGAATTTTGACTTGCGAATATAGTTTTCTGGAGGAAAATGACGCGTATAACACGATGCGAACATTAAAAACGCGAACAAGTAACTCAATTACCGAGAAATGCGCAGTTCAAATCGCTCAATTTATACGCAACTTTAAAACGCCCCAGTTTCGAGCCGCACCGAATTATGTCATCCGGCGCCAATCAGAGGCGGGCACGGGTTTCCACGACGTCCGTCAAATGTCTATCTACTCTTCGTATATGAGAACAATACGAAAGTCGAAATTATATCTTTTGAATTCAAGACTAGAATCTCATTCATATGTTAGCTGTAATAAAGAAGCAACAACTCCACATTGAAATACGTTTTATTTTAACAAACATCAGAGGAAAATGAAAGAAGATTGCGATATGACTACCGCAGTACATCAACCGCGTCAGTTTTCCGCCATTCGGGTGCGTTTGAAATGTCTTGCAGTTTTTAGATTTTTCAAAAGCGGTTTTCTCCGCGATTTTGGCTCCATGAAAATTCGGAAAAATCACCACGTTATCTCCTCACATAGTGGTTCCAGAATATTCAATAAAATAAAAAAAAGGTTTAGTGACCCATTGTAACGCGAAACATGTTGGAGAATTTGCAGGAACAGATTATTGCCGCTTCTGAGAGTGCTCAGTTAGCTGCACTCGCAGTATTTTTCATATTATTTTCCTGAGACGGGAAGCGAAAAAAATTGATCTGAAAGTGAGGAAGTCTCGGCCCTGTGACGTCAGCAGGCGGTGGCATCCCCCATTTAAACACATGCAGATTAGGTCATTTGGTCATATCTCCTATAATAATCGTTAATTTTAGAAATCGAGGATATTCTTGTGCTCGTCTCGCTTAGTATTTTCTTCTTAAACATGTAATTAAAAAAAATCCTGACTCCTACAATTTCTGCGTGGGTACAATATTTACCAAAAAAGAGCGTTCGCATACCACTCAACGCTTTTTATTTTTCTGTTTTTTTGTTATGGGGTCTGTACGGGTTTGCTCAACCCTATCCAATTTGACATGGCATCTTTTTTTATGATTGTTTGTCATATCATTCTCGTAAAGTGTTTTGGACTTGGTTGCGGGCGTAAACACTGAATGACGTTCATGTTCAAGATGATGCCAACAGCCGAAACATACAGTTATACATTACAGTTATAGAGTTTTGTTCTCATTATGTGGCCAAGATCTTAAACTGATCTGACAATGCCTCGAACTGCACTGCTAAAATTAATTTTCATCGCCCATTGTCATCAGTGCTGCGACCGCGCCTTCCCCTTCCCCTAAAAAACCGGTGGAATATACTTTTGAGACCCTGATTATCTGGAATCGCATCTGCTTTATTCGTTCAATTTTATCTCTCCTAAAGTCAAATGAGTCTTATGTAACTTAATCCGTCTTCATTTTTCCGCTGTGCAAAAATCATCCATCGGATTAAAGCTTGGAAAAGCGTGTGACTGTGTTACCTACTGCTCTTATGTGACGCAAGACCGCGCTTAATTTTAACGGCTTTATTGAAATTCAACAGTTGTTCAAACATCGGCCTACGTTACGATTTGAGCCTAGAGGCCCGCAGCAAAATTTTCTCGCTTCAAATCTAAATTTTCCATCAGACATAAAGTAATATGTCTAAATATTTTCAACATTTTTTCACGCATGGACAGGTTTGTATACATTCAAGCCGCGATATTGAGCGTTCACCACGCCACGCGTAGTGAACGAGAATTTTTCAAAGCTCTCGGTAATAATGAAATTCAAACCCTTATAATCATCTCGGAGCCCTTTTTTGCTCTTTTTCACGATTTTGTGGCCGGGGAGGATAAAGCAGTGAGATAAATTGATTACATTTTTCGGAAAATGTTAACGCATGTTATGATGAAGAAGGAAAGTCTAAAACCATCGAGTTATTTTTTAGTCCATAACAATCTGCTAGGAAGTGTTATTTTCAACTACATTCATTATATGTTAATATATCTCACTTTATAATAACTTTTCAAATATTCTCAATAATTTGCTGCATAGTGAAAAAACCTCCTGAACCGAAAACTTTGGTGTTCCACATGAACTGCAAAAGTTCAGTCTCTTTAACTTTTTTTTTCCATGTTAGAAAACTAAATTGCTCTGAATTTTTTTTTCTTTTTTCGAGATATTATTGTAACCTTAAACGTCGTTTCTTGTCGACAAAATTCGGTGTTTTTTGGTAGTTAAAGAAACGTTAATTTGTTATCGTTTTTTTAACTTAAACTTAATGATAACAATACGACGCTTTTTTTATCTAAATAAATTGACTTTAAATTGAATTCGCACGGCTTTAACTCAAAAAAAACCAAACTTTGTTGACAAAGCACGACGCTTAAAGTCGAAATAATACCTCAAGATAAATGTTTCCAGTGTTGGAATAAACGCCGGTATTAACTTACGAGCCAATAATAAAGAACATGGTGATTCTTCCCGGCGTAGTTGTAACTGTAATGAATGAGATAACAGTCGTTAGTGTAAAACCGGCCAACTGCAGAGAATGGAACCTCCTTAAGCACCGATCTGGACACCCGCCAAACTTCCATTTTGCTGTCTATTATGTTCAGTATGGACTCCATGGATCCGTTTTGGATTCGTAAAGGTCTGTGAAGAGAGGCTGCATCCAACTTGACTGTTGCCGATTTTGGTGATGCCTTGTAACTTCCTGTATCCCAAAAATGTCACAAGTTCAATTAGGAGTCGTTCATAAATTACGTCACGCTTAAGGGGGCAGAAAAGGGTTAAGAAGAGCGTTATGCCATTTTTTTAATGGTTGAAGGATAGGGTCCTCCGCGTTACAAGGGGGGAGGTCAAAAATCACCAAAAAAAAATGTTCCGTTGTTTATGAATGTAATAAGTGCTCTCTGACCCCCTATACTTTTCATTTTTTGTCACTAATCGTCAAGACGTTCTGCAGGGCCGATTTCCATGATTTTTGCGGTTATCCGCAGATAATCGTCTCTTGATGCACCCGCTCTGCTCATATTTTTTAATAAAACCGAGGGTTTTGTTTTTACATTACGTAACAAAGTTGTGGTAATAATTATCCATGATTGCCTTGCAAAGACAACATTTTTAACGCGTACCTATATTCTCAGATTTATGTTACGCTATAACATGCAATCAATGTATCTTAATTAGTTCATATTTTGCAAAAAGAAACTATTTTTCCAGTTCATTTGAGTGGCACCTTATGACTCAACAGTATCTTCTACATACGAGTATGTAAGGGTGTGTACACGGGTGTTATTATGAATGTACAATGAATATTCCTCATTGCTTATTGCATTCTAATTGGACTTAACATTTTGCAATAATACTATGCCTCAACTAGCTCGCTCTAGAAACAGCATAATGCGATACCGATTTCCCAAAGTAGATACATGCTTGATAAAGGAGTCAAAAATAGGAAATGTAAGGTTCTAAAAGTTTGCACGTTTCATTAAGATATCATTGACGCAAGGATTGATCTCAATCGTCTAATTTCAAATTGATACATTGTAGAAAATTGAGTAAGCCGATGATTTGTACTCACCATGAGGTAAAGTAAATCCGAAGTTGAGATCATCCTTATCCTTCCAAGAGAGGAAGAGTGCTTTGAATTCTGGTGGCTCTCCACCTTCAATAACACGACAAACGGGTGTCCCAGCCGAGTAGCCTTTCTTCTTAACGAACCCGTGAGCGTTCCTGATGCCTTCGTTTCGTTCTCTCATCGACGCATGTTTCCCTATCCACGCCCAAACGCTGTGTCCACAGTTGTCGATTATGAACGAATCCTGCGTAAATTCACGTCACTTTAAAATAACCATCCATAATATATTTCTGAAGTTTATTGAAATATTTCACTTGAAATTTCAAGATTTTAGTTTTCATGAAAAATGTCCACCCTTTCATAATACGCGCACGGTAAGTGCATCGTGAAGTCATTGTCTGAAAGAATAGTGGTTCAGCCGAGCCATATTTGCGAAGCTCAAATGGACTTCTTTTCGATATTAGGAACTACAATTTCTGCCCCTTTTGTAATAGAAAAGCCAATGGCAATTATACCTAGTGATGTTTAACTCAACAGTCAATTTGAATCCGTGTAATCCTAACTCCTCCTAGCAGTTTGCAAACAAATTCATTCTCAGAGCTGAAATTATTCTCTTTTGCCCTCTTTACGTGAGGATAAACTAAATTATCATAATTGCTAGTTGTCGTAAAGCGCCAGAGACCCAAGTAGCAGAGGTTGCAAAAACTTGCAACAAAATCGTTTGATTCTTGCAACTAATAGATTGATGTGCGGATTGCCTACTCTCTCCCCCGAAGGAGCTATCATTGTTGGAACTAGTTTCAATTAAGTTGAAACATGTTTCAACTTATTGCTGTTTGCCTATCTTAAGATTTTAAACAACTTTGGTGCAGCAATTTTGCAATGTCAGCAGGTTGCAACTTTGTCTTCCAATCAGATCGCCGAAAATCGGTACTTATCGACCAAAACTTGACCAAAAGTTGCAACTAATACCAACATTGTTTCAACATTTTGCAACTTTTACATTGAAAAATGCTACTTGGGGAGTGTTGTGAAAGCAGCTTTGATGTATGTTTCATAAGTACAAGTTAGCCGAACTTATTTTCCGGGAGAAAATCCTGATAACTCACGCTCGAGTGCAAATCCGATTGATGCAGAGGCCCAGTTTTGGCTTCCACAACTTTGTAAGTTCCATCTTCCTCAGAACAGTGGTACATTTTCAATTTGGAGTTAATAAGGATTTCCATCGACTTGTCGTCGTCAAATATCCGATCTCGAACCAGATTCCTCTTGTTTAAATCCAAATATACACCAAGAAGAAGTTTCTCGGACTGGGGTAGATCCATCTCTTTGCCGTCGTCGACAAACACGATGGACAGAGCGTGGTGCTCTTCCATCAATTTTTTGGCAATCTGAAAATACGGAAGCGAGAGATCAAGATCAAGTTAAAATCAAAACTTATGAGTGGAAAATTGCACTCTAGAGAAAGAGTCGTGTAAATTGAGTTTTTAAGGGTAAATTGGCACGGAAATCACGATTGTTTAAATAATTTTGAAATCCACACCTTTGTGCGCAATTTACGCAGTTTGGAACACGCTTTTTCCACTGTCCATGCGCCTCGAGGCTGTCTTCTAGTCACCGGAAACAAGTAAACGGCAACTTGAGCAGCCTCGCCTCGGTGGTAATGGTAACATAACCGTGCGACCTTTAGAATGATTACTACATATATATTCAACAGACGAAATGAAATAACCATCTGTATATTTTTTTTTTGGTAAAACGGTCTTGGTCTTATAGATTCCAAGAAATGCCTTGCTTAATAGGTACGTATGCGCTTGTCTGTGTTCACCGTACTCATGCTTGTACGCAGCTCTAAATTTTAAGCCAAAAGGTTAGAGTGCTATACTTTAAGATTCAACCTCAACAGTCACTTTTACCAGCAAGGTGAACAAAATTAACTGTACAGATCACGACTCCTTTTTGACGATCATGGAGACCTCGTCGTACCTTAGCAGCTTGAAGTTTCTCCAAGCTGTTGGAAAACTTTCCAATCCACACAAATATGACGTCCTTCGTATCCAAAATGAAAGCATCGCCGGAATTGAAAAATCTCCACGATATTTCAGGCATTTGCAGCAGTACCGGAGATCGGCGGCCCCTCACTTGGAACAGTCTTGGCTCCACTATTCGCAGTGAACTCTGCCCAAATTCAACGCCTCCAATTAGTAATCTGAGACACAATTAAAAAATGTAAATATTTAGCAATAATAGTGGTAGTTCCCAACTTCGAAGCACTAATGCGCTAAGACTTCCACATCCAAAATATGTAATCGTAAAATTCATAAGTTTCATTTGAATTACCGATGTGACTATAAATCATCTGCTTGCATCAAATTCGTGCTTGGCTGACAAAACGGCGTAACTGCACTTGAAAATGAGCCTCAGGAAGTAATGAGTTTTATGCACGCGAGGTTGTACTTACGTCTTAGTGTCAGAAGGGCGTCAAATAAATGATTCATTTTTTCGAATTAAAAATTGCGCAAATTTTGATAAAGAGAAGAGTAAATGTTCCTATTTCACATGCGCACGTCGTTATTTTTGAGCTTGTTTTCACGAGATCCGAAAGAGAAATTTTCGCAAAAGTCGACTAAAGATCCAATTTCTGCTTTTTGTAAACGTTCGCCTGTAGAACGGTAGGATATCTATACCTATCTGTAACCATAACCTCCATACTTTGGTGCTGAATATAACCGTAAAACGACAAAAAAAAAAAAAAAAAAAAAAAAACGACAAAATAATGAAATATTATCTTTTTCGGTGACTGATAATGGTTTTAAATTATCATTCCGAATAATCTGCATGCTGTGTTTGCAATTTTTTTTTTCTTGAGCGCTTTATGAATCCAATCATGGCCAAGCCAAACATAAAAAGACACTATAAAAAAGGTTTTCTCGGATCGAGGGTGTAGACTCTTTAAAAATTCGACAAGAATAACATAATCTTCATTCTCACAGATTTTTGCTTGAATCAAGAGCCCAGGCTCTTGATCTAAGCGGATTTCCTTTGATTCAAACAAAAATCTGATTGAATCAAGAGCTTGTTTTCTCGTCAATTTTTTTTAAGATTCTGGACTCTGGATCGAATATACTCTTTTTTCCAGTGTAGACCCTTCGAGGGACCATTCTCTCCGTATAAAGGTTGTGCGACCACTCATTTTGAAGCAAATTTAATGTACTTTTAAAAAAGTTCCATGCACTTGTTGCAGACCCCCGATACTTTTCTTCAAAAATGCAAAAATATCAACAAAAAAACGCAAATTTTTTCGTGCATTTTATCGTTTTGGGGCCATCCCCCCCCCTCCGGTCATTGGATCGTGTCGAACTTTTAGTATGTTGTTTAGGTAGTATAACCAGAGAGATTCCCGCAAAAAACTTTTGTTGCAATTTATTCCGGGTTGACCCCTTTTTTTCCGCTATTTCGCCCTGACCATTACTCCTGGGTCTGGGCACACCGCACAGTGGACCGAGGCAATAGGAGAGGTCGGACAAAATTTTGAAACTGTAAAAGCTCCTAACCCCGTAAGTACAAAATTTTTGGGTTCTGAGAGAGGTATTATTGGTTTCCTCGTGAAAGTTTCTTCCGGGGGCACCCCTTAAAATTTAAAATGTGACGAAATAAACATAAAAATTTGCAGTTTCAGTAAAAAATGTCTCGTCCGACCTCTCTGATTGACTCGGTCCAGTGTGCACCGATTGTGCTTGCAGCATTCTGGAGGTTGACGATTTTACAATAAGCATGTCGAGACAGCGGGGAGAGTGCGTTATGTGGCTAACCTTATGCCGGATTTGAAGTATGACTTGAAGCGAGGCGACTCGGAATTCTGCACCTCCCGATGCTGGACCGGTGAGCCTCCGAGATACGTGTCAAGTTCGACGCTTTTGTATGCAGCCATCGTCGCGCTGTCCGTGCTGCACTCAGCGCCCAGCCAGAAATGAATGTGCACCTCCAGTGGACCTCGCGGCGAATAACTCTGCGATAGGCAAAAAGCACATCGAACGCCGTTACTTTGTTAAAGGACCCATTCCGATTAATGCACTCAAAAAAAGGTATGAGACTCTGAGACCCTTAAAAAATGCACTGGTAAAAAAAACTCTTGGACCAATGCCGCGGTGCATTGACGTAAGAATGCAGTTTCTTGTCACCGGATTAAGAGTCTTGAAGTCTTGTTTCAAGCGGATTTTGCATTGAAACATGATTGCAGACTCTTAAATCCAGCGATAAGAAACTGCACTCTTGAACGAAGAGGTTTTTTTTCACCAGTGTGGCTCGGAGATCCATAATTTCTAACCAAAGTGACTTACCATCTACAGTGTGGCTTTCTGAGCCATACTTTATAGGTCGTGAACCTATGAGCATGGCTCCACGAACTATATTTTATAGCTCCATGATCCATAACTTGGCCGGTAAGTCACTACTTACTTGTTTTTTGAGTGATGGTTGTGAGGGTCGAGGAGTCGCACTGAAAAGTCAGAAAGTCGGGGAAAGCTTCTCTTTTTTGTGACATGTCTGGCAATTTTTGCAAACGCAGGCCTGAATTTTACGGCCAAACAGGCATATAGGAAGAAATTTAGTACCTGCCATAGTCACACTGAAATAAAGAGTTACGGGGTATTATAGACATACCGTTCGTTCCGGGCTCAGAGTCCGAAAGTTTCCGGGTGCTGGAGCCGTAGCTTCAATGCCTTTAAGTGCTACGCCTGCACTTACGGCCTCTGAGCCGGAACTAGGTCGGTACGTCTATTTAGCCCGTAATTTCGACTTTTACGGGCGAAGTTTTCTGTTTCAGTGCATATGGATCTTTGATTTATTTAAGTCGGAAAATTTAGGCATATCGTTTACGTGAATTCAGGAGCTGGGTAAATTTAGAGGAAAGACAGGGATTCTGGAATGTAATTAAACTTTTAACCCTTTTCCACTTTGCGCGTTGCGCGTTCATTTCAGTTTCCTTACTAAGAACATGATTCAAGATTATAATTTCTCAAAAATGTTTAGACTTCTTGTCATATATACCAAAGACACTCCTAATTGAATGAGATGTAGGTAGATCTTGTCGGTTCGAACCCATCTTTAGGAGAGCATTTATAAAACCAGCATTCCTGAATTGAATCAGTGAGAACGGAAATACACAACCTCGGTAACTCTAAAATCCTCAATTTTTACTAAGGACAGTCAATTTTCATGAAGGTTATTGAAGTTAGCGAATCTGTTCCAACTTGGACCTTTAAAGTGTCCGTTAGTACTTACTTGTCTTTCGGCACCAAAAATTTTCTTCTTGGACTTATTTCTTCACCTACTATGCAGTTTTGTGTGGGTCCGATATTAGCTTCATAACAAGTATGAAGTCACAGAAAAAATAATACTGAGAGAAAGTAATAATCTTCAACCTACCGGCATGTCATGACTAGCAATTTTTCCGCGCTCTGCGGCTACGTAGACTATGTACGCATCTTCTGTATGAAATGTTCCGTAATGTGATTTGGCCAGAGGTAAAAGTTGCATTTTCTGGAAAGGTAAAAGCGGTACTTAAACATTCAGCAGAAGTACCATCATTTTCGGCGAATAAAAACCATCTGATACTTATTTATCCTTCATAGCCTTCATTTTCCCTTGAATAGCAGTTGAAAATACTCATTAAAGTGTAGCAAATGTCAGCAATCCAACCGTTCTAAGTTGTTGCGTAAAATATATTGTTGAGAAATTTACCTATTGTGCGGATAACCTGAGTGTGGAATGATTTGGTTTATCATGGATAAGTTAGAGAGACCATACATAATTGGTCGATAGAGGAGGAAAATTTATACCTAAACCTTCGTTCTACCCCAGGTTTCACATGCATTTTCGCGTTTCATCGTTTGTACCTAGTAGAGAAGTTTCGCAGTGTGTAATTAACCCTGGAAATAAATTGATAAAAAATCTCGTAAAATATAAGTTATTCTTAACTTTTCTTCTTCTTCTATGAAATTATTTTACAATACATGACCCATAAAGGAATAATTGAATTAGTTAAAATGTTTCTGGCACAAATAATGCCCATCTACGGGAAAGTTTGGGAGTGGTGAGGTGATTTAGCCATCCATTGGCTTCGTTTTTACCACTTAGGTATAGTTGAAGTTGGGCAGTTGGAGCGCACAGGTTATACCTTCTTTAGAGCCTCGACAATTATTGTCAATTAAATCTTTGATCGTCGAGTTCACCTAGCGAAAAGAAAAAATCACGCAAAATGCCTTGAAAACCTCACCTCCACCCTCCATATCAAGAAGTTCGTGGAATTTTTTGAGACGGACCGGAATGCTGGATCAATTGTGATGGGTAGAGACCTGTCCATCTTTTGAGTCTTGCCCTGGACCTTCTTCACACCCTATATTAAAACAGTTCATTGAGTAAAAAGTGGCAATTATAAACAGATCACTATTAGAAGCTGAATTTAATAGCGCGCCAATGGTTTAAGATCGTGCATGATTCAATGTTTCGTCCGCGCCTTCAATTTGGAAGGTATATATTGCAAAATATCCCGCGAGCAGTTCTCTCCCACGTCCCACCTGTATAGGAATCTGCGTGGAGTCAAGTACGTTACGCTTATTGCTTGGTAGCAAACAACATCTAAGTTTCCACAACCACACTGGAAAAAAAACACATTGGATCTAGAGTCCAGACTTTTAAAAATATCGACAAGAAAAAATACTCCTGATTCAATCAGATTTAAGCTCAAATCAAGAACCAAGCCTCTTAATTTGAGCGGATTTCTTTTGATATAAGCTTAAATCTGATTGAATCAAGAGTCCTTTTTCTTGTCAATGTCTTCAAGAGTCTGGACTCTAGATCCAATGGGTTTTTTTTCCAGTGTAAGTTTCCACAACCATCATTATCCGTCAGGTTCAAATGAAGTTTCTGCAGGTTCCGTTCTGATTTTATTATTTAACAAGCCTGGATGGAGTGATGATACTCAAGATCTATTCTTGCTCCATTTAAAAACCGTGGCGCTTCTTTCCTTTCCGACGAGTTTTGTTGTTGCTCGCATCAAATAAGAAGCAAGTTCCTATAGTGAGAAAAGTTGGTGTTTCATATCTATTCTCCTGGGAAGAAAATACATATGAAACACCAAATTTCCTTAAAAGTATAGTCTTTTTATAGTATTTGGGAAGTACTAATCTAAAATATTGACTTGCTTTTCTATTAATCAGTGATGTGACGTGCACAGAACAAAATAGATGGTGCTGACGACAAAACCGTGGGAACAGAGTACTCTGTTCCCACGACCGAAGTTCTGCTCTCACAACAGAAAAAATCTGTAAGTGTAACAAAGAAACTGTAGGAGCCCTGTGAACATAAGGTTTTCGTCGTCAGCACCATCTATTTTTTTCCGTGTGCTTTGTGATGTATCGATTTATCACTTATTTAAACCCATGGAAAGTGATCGATATATAAACAGGGCGGTTGCAACGGACACCTTAATGATCGATTCTTTACAATAGCTTCAAATGGGGTAATATCGATAGTCGCTCATTCTCGCTTCGCTACTGATATTGATGTCGCACTTACCATCATTAATCCCATGCTGGTCATTTTCTAGCAGTCGTCCTCACGCTCCTCTGAAGTATGATGAAGAATTGCGCGTGAGAGCACGCAACGCGTCAGCAAGTAAACATCTGTAGAAGTACGAGGTACCCCTCGAAGTTACGGGCGGATGTGGTTCCGCAACAGCAAAATTTGCACTTCCGTGAACAATGTCCAACTTCCTGCTCGAAAAAAAGAAACGCCTTAGTATAGTGCGACCAAAAAAAAAAAAAAAAAAAAAAAAATCGCATTTTTCTGCTTATCCATCCATTACTTACCACCCATCCATCATATTTTATTTCCTTTAGTTCATTCACTCGCATTTGGATAGTTTGATAGACACGAGGTTCTGACTCTTAGGTTTTTTTCGAAACACTACATTTTTGATTCAACATGTTATAAATAATTTTTCGTCCTAATGTATGACCGAGCATGCATTTATTCGGAAGTCATAGTACCTTTTACAAATGCCAAGGTATATAGGAACTGCTAATTTCAGCTATTCACAATGTATAGAATTAAACATTTCCGCGTTTATGTTACTTCCTTTTATCTCATGAGGGATGTATACTTGCCTGAACCACCGATAAAAATTGTCTAAAAAAAATAGGCTCTAATTTTCATTGATTTAATTATGATTTCATTGCTTTTCAAAAACTCTTGCACCTTTTGAAGTCTTATATGCATTATAAAGTCTAATTTTTACTGTCATCAATTACTTGTTCTTAAGTAATTGATAGTGTTATTATGAGGCGAAAGTGAGTATTTGAGTCGGGGTTTGGAACTACAGATATTGCTGGACAGATCATGTCTTAGGGGCCGTCCAATAATTACGTAACGCTTAAGGGGGAAGGGGTCAGTGGAGCATAACGCCTTTATGTTTTTGCGTAACGGATAGGGACTTACGTCACAAAAGCGTTACAAGGGGGAGGAAGGGGGTCCTAAATCCGAAAAAGTGCGATGTAATTTATGAACTCACCAAACTCGCTTTTCAAGTTATTATTCTAAGTTTAGTAAAAGTTTGAAAAAAATATAAATGAAAGTTCCATCCTAGGAAACAGTGACTTCATCGTTTCATTCAACAGCTTTTTCATGCGTTATAATATGAATATTTCAATTTTAAAGGGTCTGAAAGAAATTTTCTGCTCATACCTTACTCTAAAATATAAAATCGTATGAGCAATAACGCATAACGCGCGAGGCGCTTTCAGAGATTGGATCGCAAAGCGGTCAAGGGGGTACCCCTCTATCCGCGAAGAAAAACCCTTACGTATAATAACGTCCTTGCAATCCACCCCTTCTAAGATTACATACCCGTTACCTTTGCTAAGGACACTCCGTGCAATTTCAAGTGCTTAAGACGTTTCTAACTGACATAAATACCGTCATTTCTACGGCGCATACGGACAAAGTAGAGCGAATCACCAGCAAAAACTAGTAGGCGAGCGGTAACCAAATATGTCTATCCACGATAATCAAGATAAAAAATAATACGAGTATACGCAGCAAGCTTCTGCATTCCGCTTAAATTTGTTTCGCCTCTTGCGAATGAGGCTGAAGATCGACCTTGACAATGACTCCTATTTACGGTATTATTGTTTGAACCATCACGAACTTTAACTCTTCCGCTGAAACACCCACGCCTCCCAGTGTCGCCTTAGTTCCAGGCTGATGCAACGTTTGTCGCAATCGTTTAATCTTGCTTATCTCTATCCGTGCCGCAACACACCTGCCCATTTAAGCGTGCGAGGCCCTAGTTAACGGTAATAGATCCTATTTTTTTATTTCTCATCCTTTTTTAAATGCAAATTGAAGGTAAAATTAGATCGCGCTTCCATGCAGAGTGGAAGGCGGGTCTATCGGAGGCGCCTCAGTTAGCGAGTTGCCAAACTTAATCGAATTTCTTTATTTTTGTCGTGCTCAACATTTCGAGAGGACATTCTCACAGAGGCGGATCCAGCTATTTAGCAACACCGGATTTCATCCATTTAAACCTTTGGAAAAAATCGATTCTTGTCGGAGCATCTGGCCCCTCTAAGAATCGATACATTTCCATAGGTTTAAATGGAGAAAAACAACGTTGCCGATTTGCTGGATCCGCCAGTGCATTCTCAGACCGCAAATAATATTTTATGAGAGGAAGCGGAAAGTGCTCTTTTGGACACAACTCTTTGCGTAATTCAATAATTTTACGCGTTTTGCGCCATTTTCCCGTACAATGAATGGGCAACCTCTTTTTTTGCAGCAACATTGCCACATTCGCAGCTGTAGCAAATCGCGTTTTCCTCTGATGAATATTCCAGGCAAAAAACAAATGTGTGCCACTAAAAATCTCTGATGTGGTTCAGCATGAAGACATCCTCAAATAGTAAAGTCCCCATGCGTCAAGCAAACTCGTATGCCTACTTTTCTGCACTGCGTTAAAGTTTCACGAAGTGATTCCTGCAATTTGCCGTCTCGGCGATCGTATGGCTACTTTTCTGCACTGCGTTAAAGTTTCACGAAGTGATTCCTGCAATTTGTCGTCTCGGCGATCGTATGGCTACTTTTCTGCACTGCGTTAAAGTTTCACGAAGTGATTCCTGCAATTTGCCGTCTCGGCGATCGTATGGCTACTTTTCTGCACTGCGTTAAAGTTTCATGAAGTGATTCTTGCAATTTGCCGTCTCGGCGATCTCTCGTGTGGTTCAGCATGATCACATTTTTTAGGTACGGATTCCGGACCTTACCACGGAACCTTAGGAGCGTATTTCCGTGGCGGCCGGGTAACATAATACTGCCGCCTCGATAGGAAGACCGTCTGAAACTTTTTCCGGACTTCCGAAGGTTTAATGAATAATTCCGATGGAAATTAACAATTTTCAAATCTTGTGAAATTTATTCGAGCCTTCTGAAATTTCACTTTCCATCTCTGGGCCTGTGAAGTGCTCTTAATGTGATTCGACGGTTGCCATTCTTTGTGTCAGAGCGACGTGCGATATATCGCATCAATTCGTTCTATAATTTCAGCTACTTGTAATTTTTTTCGAATTTTGAGATCGCACTTCTGATGTCATGAGACTAAAGAATTTATGTACCGAATTTGACAAAGAAATTCAACGTAATGAAGGCAGGTTTTTCAAGAGGAAAAATATCGCATACGAGCACAGTTTCGATATCAGTATCGAATGCGATATTTTTCCTCTAAAAAAACCCTGCCTTTATTTCGTTGAATTTCTCTGTCAAATTCGGAACATGAATTCTTTAGTCTCATGATAACAGAAGTGCAATCTCAAAATTCGAAAAAAATGACAAGTAGCTGAAATTATGGTACGAATTGATGCGATGTATCGCACGTCGCTTTGGCACAACAAATTGCAACCTTCGAATCACCTTAAGTTCTGACTTCGTCCACCGATCCTTACGGTATTCGATGTAATTTCTAGAAAATGGGAGAAATTGTGGCAGAAGCAGTCCATCCAGGAGTACTCAGTGAAAGGTCGTATAATTTCAACGTGAGAAAGCTGGATATTGGATTTTCTGCATCGGTTTGACGTTAACTCGCCGCGTGTTCTCGAGAATCATTACTGCCGCGTTTCGGCGAGTCTCTCCATGAGCGACTTCTATTATTTGGACGTATTTCTATCAAACGGAACTATGTGCATTATGACGTGAGCCCTGTTATGCGTGTATTCTTATAGGTCTCAGGGCTCATGCCTTAATGCACATAGTTCCGTTTGATAGAAATACGTCCATTTCTATTGTTAGCCGGAAACTGAAACGATGGAGTAAGGGGAACAACGCCGCTGCTTAAGGCGAAAACAGTGTATCTCCCATAAAAACAGCTCGGCAATTCGGGGTTTTGACTTTGCACGGCATAGCATCGGCAGAACCTCCTCCTACTCTCGGTTGATGGACGGCTAATCAGTGTCATACTATAAAAATGATGCGGTTAACCACCTACATGAAGTAAAGAAGAAGACAAATAATAAAGATAAAAAACCCCGTTAGAACAAATCGCGTGCAGGATCGCGGCCATGTGTGGCTATGAATGACTAATTTGCGATGGGCTCGGACTATTTTCTTTTGTTATCGTGCGGGACATCTCGCTGCCCGGTTCACCGAAGACGATGGCGTTGCCCATTGCCCAGCCGGAAGACCGGGGTCTCCAACGTTGCGTTGGTGCGAACCCGGGAGAATTTTTTAAGAATTTGGCAGCGCCACGAAAGAGCAGTGACACATATCGCAGCGTATTCCGGCATTAATGAATTAATTACAGTCCCGAAGTATTAAAGCTACGTTAGGATTCGCACGGGTATCGCTCCATCGCGGTACTCCGTACCTCATACGGGCTTTAACATTGTTGTGTCTTCGAACAACTTAAAGTAGGGCATATGGACTGAGTTAAAGAAAAATGAGATCGCGCCCCTGAGCAGCCCGTTAAAAAGGCAGTTCAAAAGGTATACAAAAACAAAACCCGTGGCGGAAACACGAGCTAATTCCGGCTGGAAATCCAGCTGTCCTGAATTGGATAGTGATATGAAAAATCTCCGTATGTAAAAAAGTAAGGGATAGCACCTTTCAAACAAGAGAAATCATCTCTTTTTTGTTGTTACCCTAATTTTCTCTCCTCATTTTTCATTTTGTTATTTTTTTGTCCGAAAGGTGCCACCAGGTAAATTATTTTTTTAAATTTTATTTTAGAGATTTTTAATTTTATTTTCAGTGGTATCCAGCCGAGATTGGCTGGATACCCAGCCGAAACATTTTAGTTCTTTCTCTTGTGCGTTAGCCGTGCTATTTGTTTTCTCTATATTTATTGAGGTTTAACAAAAACCCACCAATTTGCAATCCGTGTGCTTCCAGAAATTACGCGCAAGAAGTAGAATTTCAAATCTCTTAATAATGTATTTTCATTTATCGAAATTTCGATTAATATGCAAGAGTCCCGAAGCAATGATGCGGTCCGGTCATTGCATTTCCATAATACTTGTTACTGAAATCACGAATTTCTAGATTCATAGCATCGGATTAAATTAATTGGGTTTTCTATGCAACATGCCCTGTCGCAGGCACCAGATTCTGATGCTGCTATTGCAGAAATACTGGATGCAGTCAGCAGTAGACACCGAAGGCGGAAACGCATGTCATCTAGTGCATTGTCGAATGGTGTGAATGACATCTTACGCGAGGCGCGTGTCATACCCCACACTGTACGTTGGCTTTGCGTTCAGCTGTGGGGCGCGCCGCGTGGGGAGAAGCTGCCTTTCTTTTGATTGCTACCTTTTAATTCCTGACGACGCTCCTCAGATCTGATGAAGCAGACTTTTCACCGATTTTTCTTAATTTCGTTTGAAAAAAACACATTTTCCAGAATTACATTATTTACAGAAATGAGTATTTTTTCATGGGTTATTTTCGACGTCTCTTCTAACATTTTTAGTGCTGGAAAACTACCGATGATGTAATTTTAAGAGTTTATTGACACTATTTTTACATACATTTTTCTGAGATACTCTTGGAAATTTTAGGTAGAAAAGTTTCCCATACCAAACATTTAAATTTACGAGTTTTTCATACGTTTTTTCAACAGTCGTTGCTACTCCGGATGATCTAGCTAGATGGTTTAAAGCAGAGACTTTTGCTTATTAAACAACATTACGGTGTACAAATTTAGGGAAGGAAGTAGAACGTAATCAAATTGAAAGTTCTCAAATAAATATTGGTAATTTTTAAGCTAAACCGGCAGTTGATAAATTATTGCAGTTGACAGAAAATGTATATTTGTCTTCCTGGCCAAAAGAACTTTAATTCCTGGGAAAGCAGGTCCAAATCTTGCTCCACGACCTGTTCCGCGGCCTTGGTAATCCGCCAACAATTTTAAAGAAAGAACGACCATAAAAGGAATCAGATGTTTCGGACAAATTAGCATGCTGTATGTTTACATTTTCCTTTTAAATTTTTTATCCACCAAGTACTCCAATTTTAGACAAATAAACGGCGAAGGTGGCGCGTGAGAAAACGTTAATTAACGGCTACTCTCGACTAATTATCTGTTTGAGTTCACAGCATACGTTTTCATTTGATTTCAACTCATAATTTCATCTCTAAACCGGAAAGAATTTCCGCCACCAGGACCTTGACGTGAGTTCCCAGCACTACCCTCTACCCCTCAGGAACCTAGTAAGAAAAAAAAGAATTAACATCTATAACTTGACTAACTATAATCTGACGAAATAACTCTCGACATCTCTCACAATTCATCGCGAGGCATGATCAGTAATTGTAAAGGCATACTTACTTATCATTTTTTTCTCTCATTTTTTTAAAGATACATTACTGCCTTACGATTTTTCCCTTTTTTCTCAACGATGATCGCGTTTAGCGTCGCTGGTGTCGTCGTTCATTGAATTTCTGAAGGTGCCATGTGCTTTTAACCGTAACTCAGCGCAGCGTGGGCTTTGCTCTTCGATTTGTAAACGAACTGCGTTCAGATGTTCAGTTGCGCTGGTCGAAGAATCGTGTTTTGATGCTTTATTCTTGTAGATCAGCTAAAAATAGTAAGATCTGTTCGAACAGCAACTTTCTATGTTGAATATTAAACGAGAGATCGCGCCTTGAAAATCTCTATTTATGACGTCATCCACCTCGGTAGTTCATATTACCATGTTATGCACAACCTCGGTGGATGGCGTCAAAAACCAGACTTTTCAAGGGGCGATACCTCGGTCAATATTGAATGTAGAAAGTTGCTGTTTAGACAGATCTTTTTATTTTTAGCTAGTCTACAAGAATCAAACATCAAAACACGATCCTGTTACCAACGCAACTGGCCCTTTGATGCAACTTGGTGCGCTAGGGCCTCCAATTCAAGTGGTCTCGTTGTACTCCATAACCGGACCAAGCAAGGAAGTCACGGTGCGAAATCAACCCGTGGCTTTTGATCGTTTAAATCCAATAATTCGATGAGTACACATTAACTCCCTTCGAATGTCGCATTCCGGACCCAGTAATGATGCACATATCGCGCACGTTGGCGCCGACTTTTAAAAATCTCGGAGTCAAAATCAGGTGTGCGTCTCATCTTGGAACCCATGTTGCCTCACGAACCCCAAGAATTTCATTCGTTATTCATATAATTAACTTGGAATTTCACTTCGAGATTTTCAACAGTGCCTATCTATATCCTAGTTTCTCCTTTATTTGATTTTGTTATTGACGCATGTGGAACGACCAACGCAATGCTACCAATCATCGAAATTGACTTTTGGGGCATTATGTGCTTGAGACTAATTGTGATGTGATGGAAATCATGGAATACAGTAACATGATGGATGACATGACCGCGAGCTCCTATTTGGTCATGTTTGCGTGGATACCTTCCAGCACAATTCTGGTTCTTCTTTAAGCTTCAGCTGTTGATACAGATTTAATGGCCAGCGCAACTGGTCCAATTGGCTGGCCTTTCTGTTGAAACAATCATTTTCTTATCATTATTTACTTCCTCTATCATAACCAAACCAAAAGACAGCATGAATTATCTTCAAGTCCTATTGTAATTAAAACACAAAGATTCTGGTGCAAATTCAATTAGTGAATCATGATGGAGAATTTGCCAACTACCGGTTCTACTACCCCCGTTCAAAATATAACCACTAGGTACTTAAAAGTCGGCAAGTATTTTTGCCAGAAGACAAGATTTTTCATTCCGAAATTTCCTCAATGTCATTTGAATTTGAAATCTCATTTGTAAGCCCTATACTACCGCCTCCCTCTAAAAAAAAATTGGAAATTTTCTATATCTGACTTAATAAGAGCGGTGGTAGAACCAGACCTTCCCATGAAAAAAATAGCTCTATTGTTACGAGGATTAGACGCTCGCCCCACGGTGGAATTAATCTTTCGGGTTCATTTACCTCAATATTCGTCCAATTATAAGGTATATTTCCTCGCTCAAGGTTTTTAAACTTGCCGCACTGAAAAAAAGGTTACAGGCTATTTAGACATACCGTCCGTTCCGGGCTCAGATGCTGAAAGTTCCTGGTGCTGGAGCCTCGACCGCTTCGGGTGGCTACATCCGGATTTTTTTACCTTTCAGCCTGGAACACGGACGGTATGTCTATGATAGCCAGTAAGCACGGCTTCCAAAACCGGAGTTTTTTTTCAGCGCGGTTTCATTTGAAATATTTTGCATGCTCTGCAACCGGTGACAAGGTACACGTACAAACACTAAATAAAGCGGGTATCAAAGCTTTTTAACACAAATGGCACCAAGACGTTTCGGCCGGAAACATCACAGCCTTTCTTCAGTTGGATACACATTATTAAAAATTAAAGATTTAGCACTCGGTTGTGCCTTTCCAAAACAAAATGAATGTTTAATATCCTGCTGTCGTTCCTCTGTTTTTAAATCATGAAGTTTTTAAAAATGTGGTTCCACCCAACTGAAGAAGGCTGTGGTGTTTGCAGCCGAAACGTCTTGGTGTCATTTGCGTTAAAAAAGCCTCGTCACCCGCTGCTCTGATTGTTTCAATTTCGTTTGAAATCAATGGATTTCCCGACACTTGCAAATTCTCCATCGTGCGTTAAAGTGGTATCCATCCCGTTGGGTTTGTTTCACTCACAGTGGGCTGCACGGAGGCACTCTCGGGCGCGGTCAACGCACTTTTCGCGATTCGGATGAGCACCAAGCACACCGGACAGGAGTTGCACACCGTTCACACTACTGATCTGGAGCGGAAATTACAAAAAACCCAGCGCGGATGAGTGCACACCGCACACTGCCATGTTAACACCAGATGCGCCTCGCCGCTCGACTCAGACTGACGGCCCAGCCGCACCGGTGTGTGTTGTGTTTTCCCTCCTTTTCCACCGCGGGCCCGGCTCAACTTTTCTGGTATTACACATTCGTTTCAGCCGCGCGGCGCCCCCGCCCCGCCGCGCCGCTGCTCCCTGCTTGTTCAACTGGCATAGTGTACCGGAAAGGAGCAAGGCTGGCCGAGGTAAAAAAGAAATGGTAACAAAAAAAAGTGAAGAAGAGCATGAACAGGTGTTGAGCCTCTCGTGACAATGCAACGGATACCTTGTTGCCACTCCGTCTCTCCGTCCTCTCTCTGGCGGTTAATGGGTTTTCGCTGCAACGGTTGACTTTTTAGGCTGGGGTTTATCACCTCTTCGTCGCCTACCTGACATAAGTGCGTAACTACACTCAGCAGTGAACCCTGTCTTCCATACAGTTCAATGTTTTTCCGGGCTCATCTCCATGTGTAGTTACGCCCTAATGTCAGCTAAGCGATGTATTGCTATGGTACATCCTCTCGTTAAAATTTAAAGAGTTTCTCAGGGGATTCGTTTAATTTAAACGGGATGTAAACATTTTAGGTTTCGGAATGTCCCGGTGTGGTGTCTAATTGAAAGACCGAAAAGATTAAATAAGGGGCTTGGAGGACAAGGCGCATAAGTGCAGTTTTTGCTTTTTCGAGAAGTACGTGTTTGAAGTTTCGAAATTAGGTACATAGATCCTCATGGCGGAAAAAAAGTTCAAACTGACTTTTTGATGCTTAAAAATCGGAATTTTGGAGCGAAATTGCGGATCGAATTAAGACTGATTTTACTTGAAATGATTAACATCTCAATTTTTTTCAAAAACTGCACTTATGCGCCTGGTCCTCGAAGCCCCTCAAATATACTCTTTGTTAAGGTTTGTGCCACTTCAGAGCCGAAGTAGGTTGCTTTAAACGAAGTTTTTTCCTCACACAGTAAGGAAAAGTAACCGACGTTTTGTGTTTACATGGAAAGTAAATCATAAAGTAACCCAAACGCGCGCGGCTAATTTTTTTGGTTAGTTTTTCTTTGGGTCATATTTACCAAATCTTTGGGTCGAACATTTGTAACCGCGTTGAAAATCTGATACGAGCCTCCGGAATTGACCATGGATCACATTGGTAATAGTCCAATCTACCTATTGAGGATTGCAAGCAGGCACCTATTTCGACTTTATGCTTGATATGCGAGGTATCCTCACTAATTGAAGGCGCATTGCATGGTGCGGCATTACGCTTCGTACTTAATAAGATAATATTGTAAATCAGCAACCATTTTTGCTGCTTTGCATTTTGTCAATACGCGCGTCGTGCCGATAAATTAATTTTGCAGATAGGCAACTATTTTGACGTACGAAGTGGTATTGCGGGGTATTATCGCAAGTTTAAGATGCACTGTTGTACGCCTCCCCATTGTGTAATGTACCCTCGCAGTAAAGTAGGCTAATGAGAGAGATGTAAATTTTTGTATCTTCTCGCTCAACCTGAAATGTCTTTTTACAAACTACGCACAATTATCTCTGAAATATTCCTTCCCCCTTTTCTTTGCTTTAATTTTTGACATGAACGACTATCCGCGAACGACATTTTGAGAAACTAAAATTTACATGTTACTGTAAACTTAAATGAGCGCAGAAAATTCCACAAGGCCCAAGATTCCGTCAGATCAGCAGGGCGCACGGAGAAAAAACAACACGGTTATTCGACGGTTACCACGGTAATAATGTCACACGGGATTCCACGGTAGTAGAACCATGGATTTTGGTAATGTCATTGATAAGCACAGTAGCAAAACCATGCTCACAATAGTATGTCTGTGCTCACAGTAATATTACCGTGAACACGGTCACATCACCGTGCTCATCGTTACAAGAGTCAAAATACACGGTTCTACTACCGTGGTATCCTGTCACATTACCTTTGTAATGGTGGAATAACTGTGTTTTTTTTTCTCTGTGCACTTTTTTCATCCTCAGATGCTGCAGAGTAACCTACGATTTCGATCGATTTAACAATAATTTGGTCGATCAACCAAGCACTTTTGGTTGATAAAAAATGAAGATGTTGCATGTGTGAGGGCTTTGCGATTTGACCATCGATTCTTACATAATAGTTCACGAGAAACACGATGGTGCCACTGGTTTTCTCTGAAATCATCTCCCAAGCTCAATAAAAGCTCTCAAAGTGAGTCCAAAATGGAGGGGATATCCCACCCTACCCTGAGAGTCCACCTCTACATCAAAACAAACTCTCCTCACATAGATAGGGAGCAAATACATTAGCAGGGTTGCCACTTTATTTGGGGACTCCAAAACTGAAAACACGGCAACCCTGCTACTGTATTTGCTCCCTATCTTTGCATGGAGAGTTTGTTTTGATGTAGAGGTGGACTCTCAGGGTAAAGCGGGATATCCCCTCCATTTTGGACTCACTTTGAGAGCTTTTTTTGAGCTTGGGAGATGATTTCAGAGAAGACCAATGGCACCACCGTGTTTCTCGCGAACTTGTACATATGAATCAACAGTCAAATCGCCAATTCCTCACACATGCAACATCTCCATTTGGTCAATCAACCAAGTGACAGTTGAAAAAAAAATATCTCAAAGAAACCATAAACACGGAAATTTTTAATGTGTTATGCATCGAAACGCGAATCTTTGGTACTGTGACTGATCTATCTCATCATCCCGAAGGCGGAAGACCAGGCAATGTTGCCTCGACTTCGGCTGATCCCTTCGCCTCCTTTGGGAAGGTCACCAGGGTGGGCGTCGGGGAGGAAGGGCGCTCGGGGTGAGGGCGTCGTTGATAGGAAGCACAGTTGGACTCATGCTCGTAATTGATCTGATGCGTAGCAGCTCTTTCAACGCTGGCATCCAGCGGTGTCGGCCACAGCGCCGACCTAATTCAATCCTAATTACGTTCTCAATACTAACATCCACATAAACCCACTGATCCTGTGCCAGCAGAAATGCACCCTCAGAGGAAATGCAGTAGTTTTGCTTCTTTTGTAAACTCTCGGGCCGAAGCCCCGAAGCCGCCACGCAGTCCACGCAGCCTAATGAACCACTAGACAAGCTACGGATTTCAACATTCTGATACATGTTTCTTAACTAAAATTTTACGTAGAGCACGATGCGTACAACGAAAATTACCGAAATCAACTCCTTACGAAGATATTTAATGATTCTTGGTGCGTGAATTCAAACCACCCGCTCATGAAAACTCAATGTTCTACGTGACTCACATCGCGCGCTGAACGTTATCATGAACGTTTTTGCGATAAAAATATCTGGCAAACTTAATCTTGACGCTTTGGCTCAGCTATAGCAAATTACTTATAGTTTGAAAAACACATGGTGGGAAATGAAAATTGCTCGATTGAGAAGCTTACTGAAACCGGTGCAGTGCGCTATTTGATTCACGTAGAGCTTTGAGTTTCTTGTGAGCAGGCAGTTCAAATTCCTCTTAACCAATGTGAAATAAAAACGTTAATATCTTCGTTTGGAGTTTGTTTCATTAGTTTTTGTTGCGCGATTCGTGCTCTACGTGAAATTCTGGTGAAGAAACATGTATCAGAATGCTTAAATTCGTACCTTGTCTAGTGGTCCATTGCGAAAGGTTACTTCGTTCCCTCTAAGATCCGCTTCGCAAACCCTCGTTAGTTAAGCTAAATGTACATATCGTTACCTTCCGGCCAAAGTATCACAAGCGCCATGCGTCATTTAAAAACATTCGCCACCATTTTATTTTTTTTAAAGAGAAAGAGAAATTGTTGGTTGCATCTGTTTGAAAATTTCACTGAATTTTATTGGCAGCACAAAGAAAATTCAGTGAAATTTTCATTAAGTTTAAGTTTTTTATAAATCACATGTATGTTAATATCTGGTTAATAAATTCAAATCGGCCCTGTGGATCTTCAGAACGAGCTGTGACAAAAAATGGACATGTGCATCGTTTAAATGAGAAAATTCAAAATTCTATCTTGTAATATAAAAATTGTGGTCTTATTCCCAACATCTGAATTGAGCGGGCTCAACTGGAGATCACCACCTGTCAAAAGCCGCAAAATCGTTCGAATTAGTCCAGGTAGAACTGTGACAAAAAATGAAAATTTACTTCGGAGGTCAGAGAGCTTATAGGTCAAAAATACTAATGGGCCCTTGTACTTGCAAGGTTTGAATCACTCGAGTGACACACATTGCTATATTAATTGCAATCACATGTTAAAATAATTATTATGGTATTGTGTCGGTGTGTTGTGTATTTTGTCTGTCTACTGATTGAAAGGGCTACTCTTTTTGAAATTCATCGTGATAAATTTGAAATAAGTAGCAATTTTTTTGCATTGCAAATTGCCTGCCCACAGACGGGAAGTCCTATTATATTTATTTCTTAAAATCGGCATTTATTGACCAAATTATGTAAAAATATTGCAATTCCATGTCATAAATATTGCATTTCATTGCATTAAAGTGCAACATTCTTTCAATATTTCGTGTTACTGCGCTACTTGGATAAATCATAACGTCATGCGTTCTATTCCTCTTCAAATTTTTATGCAGAAATCGATAAAAGCAAAAAAAGTTTCAAAATCCAGTCCCAAGCAAGATTTCAACGTGTTTAATAAGACAAACGGAACCAAAACAACATGGAAATAGAGCAAGGGAAAAGACGCACTTTGCTGACGGCGCAGAGATACATCTATTCGTGCTTGATGGATGTCCGTGCTGCATCTCCAAGATTGAAGGTGCGATGTTGCGAGGCATGAACTCGCAATGCACCGCTCTATGTTGCCAATGAGGTGTCACTCAGATTCGAGAGATAGTTAAAAAAACGAGGCCTGATTACGTCCCTCCTGCCTTTGGTCATACTGTCACAAAATGTTTTCTTTTTTTTCAATTTGATGTCCGATTCTTTTTTAGGTTGTATTTGTAGACCCATAACTAAAGCTCGAATGCGGAGTCTAAACGTTACAAATTTCGTCTTTTGTATTCTTGTTATTTGATTCATGCCAGTTATATA